GAGAGTGGGGCCAGTGCCTGTCAGCACATACACAGAGAAGGCAAGGAGGAGGAAGACAGCTGACCTGTGCCACGGGGTCTGCTTTTCAATCCAGAGGCCTGGCAGAGCTGCAGGGAACTTTCGGTTGAGGTCAGAACTTTACATGCTGGGCACAGCCAGTCTGCAAAACACTGCTCTCCGGCACCCCAGCCTTCTCCCTGGGCTTTTGTCCATCCCTCAGGCACTGGGCAACAGTTGCCAGCACAGTGATCAGTATCAGTGTAGCCATGTTTTCCTTTTAGTGACCTCAAATAGTCAAAGTTTTGTTTGCTCCACCATGCCCCCATATGCATGTAATTAAACACTTGTGAAAATCACCTTTAACAATAAACAAGAAACAAACCTAAATATCACTTTTTTCTCTTAGTCATTAGAGGTGATGATTGCTGGGTGCGGGGAGCAACTGGAATCTGGAAAAGACACAAGGTTAAGAGACTTCATGTCTCTGGGCACAGGTGGCTCACACCTGTAATCCTAGATACTTGGGAGGCTGAGATGGGGAGGATCACAGTTCAAGGCCAGCCTAGGCTAATAGTTCTCTAAAATAACCAGAGCAAAATGGATTGGAGTGTGGATCAAGTGGAAGAGTGCCTGCTTTTTTGCAAGTACGAAGACTTGAGTTCAATCCCAGTCCCACAAAAAAAAAAAAAAAAGAGAGATTTGTGACTCTCTGGGGCAGGACAGGTCATGCACACCTGTAAGCACTCGAGTTTTAGGCCAGTCTGTGCTACATAGTGAGACCTGGTTTCAAAAAAAAAAAAAAGGGGGGGTAGGTGAATTTGATTAATATATATTATATGCATGTACGGGAATACCACGATGGATAAATGCTAATAAAAAAATTTTTAAAGCAATGTCATAAGCCAGAGGACCAAGAGGAAAGGGCTACAGTGACTTTCTGGCAAGCGAGGCAGGGGGTTTGCAACCCAGATGTGGAGAAGCAAAGGGTGCCCAGTGCTAGGGAGCACATGTGCCCAAGTCAGGACGTAAAACGTTCATGTTTCAAATCCCATTTCTCATAGCGTACGTTAGGAAAGAAAGGATGCTCACAGTCACCATGAGCCTCAGGCAATCTGGGACCCTGGAACAGACGCACAATGCTGCATGTATGTGTGTGTACATTTCTCTGAGGCTATGACCTGTGGCTTTTATCAGATCCTGAAAGAAATCTAGAACCCTATAAAGGCTAATAAGAACAACCTCCTCAATAACACACCTTCCAGGCATTACACAACAGGAGAAAAATAATTTTATAAAATACCAGTAGACATTCTAAATAAATGACAGTTGAACGCTGGCTCATTTCTTGGTTTAACACGGTGGTTTAAAAGTCTAAGGAGGCAGGGTGTGGTGGTACATAGCTGTAATCCCAGCTACTCCAGAGGCAGAAGCAGTAGGATTGAGAGTTTGAGGCCAACGTGAACCAAGTTATCAGGACCCTATCTCAAAAAAACAAAATACACAAAGAAAAAAAAAATCTGGGTGTGGTGGCATACATCTATAATCCAAGCTCTTGTGAAGGAGAATCGAGATCTCAAGTTCAAGACTAGCCTGGGACAAATAGACCCTGTCTCAAGAAAGGAAGGAAGTGGGGGGAGGGAGGATAAAGGAGAATGATGGAGGGGGTGAATTCAACTGTGATACATTTGGTATGTTGTAAGAACGTTAATAAAATGCCACAATGTACCCCAAGCACAACAATAAAAATAAATAAAATTTAAAAAAAAACGAAAAAGAAGGAAAGAGGGAAGGGAAGAAGAGAAGGGAAGGGGAAGGGAAGGGAAGAGACAGAAGGGGAGGGAGGGGAGGGAGGGAAGGAGGAAGGAAGAAAAATAAAGGAAATTCTGACACATAACACAAGGGGTTTTTGCCTTTTCTTTTGTGGTGCTGGGGACCAAATCCAGGGCCTCATGCATGCCAGGCAAGCGCTCTACCACTAAGTGACACTCCAGCCCCTGAACATAGGTCTCAAAGGAGCAAGCTCATGGGAGGAGATCCCAGAGTCACCTTGTGCCAATGTGTACAAATTTCTAGAAAAACCTAATTTACCAAACCACAAGAAAAGAAATACAAAATCAGAATAATCTGGGGGGAGGGGACTGTGGGTTTTTTGGGGGGTTTTTTTGGCAGCATTAGTGTTGGATCTCAGGACCACTCTCTGCATACCACTTGAGCCACTCCAGCAGTCCTTTTTTGCTCTGGTTATTTCTGAGACGGGGTCTTGCTTTAAGTCCAGGCTCACCTGGAACGCTGTCCATCTGTGCTTTCCCAGGTAGCTGGGGTGGCAGGCTACCACCATGCCCAGCCATTGGTTGAAACAGGGTCTCGTGAGCTTTTGCCTGGTCTGGCCTCAAACCCACAATCCGAACCTCCACTTTCTGAGGAGCTGGGATTGCAGATGTGAACCAGTGTGAAAATCAAAATAATCTTAAAGCTAAGCATTGAATCTATAATTCAAAACCTCTCCGTAACTGTCAATGGTCAGACTCCTCTGCAAAAGAAAACTTTGTAAAAACTAAGCCAAGCAGATACCAAGTGTAATTAAAACTAGACAGGGTGAGACTGTGGCATTTGCACAGAAATGAATGCCCCGAGGGGAGCACAACTGAGCCCAGAGACACCCACACAGGTAGAATGGCGTGGCACTCCAGATCAGTGGGGAGGATTTCACTTTGCAATGACCAGAGACAGGAACACCCTTAGCTACAGGTTGGCAGAAACAAAGCACTTTACACACACCCATCATCTCTGAATGTGTGAAGATTAGATAGGAAAGAACGCTTAAACCCTTGTGGTGGGAAAGATTTCTTAAGACATAAAAGTACCACCAATGAAAAAAAAAAAGATACATTATACTACATTAAAAATTTAAAGTTCTGATGGGTGTGTGGCTCAAGTAGTAGAGCACCTGCCTAGCAAGCACAAGGCCCTGCGTGCAAATCCCAGCCTGGGGAACATTTCAAGAGATCCCATGTGCAGTGGCGCATATTTGTCATCTTAGCTACACAAGGAAGCACAAATAGGAAGACTGTGTCCAGGCTGTCTCAGACATAAAAAAAAATGAGACCACATCTCAAAAATAACCAACATAAATTGGGCACCAGTGGCTCACACCTGTAATCCTAGCTACTTGGGAGACAGATTGGGAAGATCGAAGTTCAAGGCCAGCCAATGCAAATAGTTCCAGAGACTCCATCTCCAACACAACTAGCACAAAATGGATTAGAGATGTGGCTCAAACAGTAGAATACCTGCCTAGCAAGTATGAAGCCCTGAGTTCAAACCCCAGTAAGGAAGAGACCCCCATTTTAAGGAAACATGGCAGACAAAGAAATATCAAATAGCCAGGTGCCTGCGGCTCAAGCCTGTATTCCTAGCTACTCAGGAGGCAGAGATCAGGAGGATCAAGGTTCGAAGCCAGATCCCGGCAAACAGTTCAGGAGACTTCATCATTAAAAAAAAGGGGGAGGGGGAGGGGGCTGGCACAGTGGCTCAAGCGGTGAGAGCCTGCCTAGCAAACTGTAGGCCCTGAGTGCAAACCTCAATGCCACAAAAAAAAAAAAAAGAGAAAAGAAAGGAACAGATGGAATGTGTGTGGGGTGGATTGGGCCCCCTTTTCCTCAACATGAGAAATTCAAACCATGATCCCTGGCAGAGATAACCAATCACAAAAGTGGAGACAGCCAATCAAAAGTGGCCTGACCTAAGGTATAGAACTCAACTCTTTCTGGAGTGCTACACTCCTTTGCTAGCCACCAGCCATTCCATCCCCTTCAGATGGCATCCTGACAAATCTTTCTCAGTAAATTTTTTTACCAACCCTCAACTCCCCAAAATCAATGACATCCAGTGCCATCCCCCACAAAAGAAAACTTAAAATTTTTTTATTGATTTTAATTCTGGGTTTCCATTTCTCAAAGTTTGTAAAAAAGTGAAACTTCCATGAAATGTTGACCTGTTGCAGTAAGGGCCAAAGAGCCATCAGTAACCACAAACTAGAGGAGTCAATTCTGATTTAGAAGTCTCACACTTATTTCAATAACAACTCTTTTTTTTCAGTACTGAGACTCAAATCCAGAGCCTTGTGCATGCTAGACAAACACTCAACCACTGAGCTACATCCCCGGCACTACTAATTAATTCTGCAAACAAATTAACACGCAGCAAATTAAGACATGGCGATTTAACACGTGGAGGAGGCTTACCTATCACTCTGCGAATCATGACTCTTAGATCAAATTACGTTTTCTACAAAGAAGCAGGAAGCGGGGCAGTAAGGTTTTTCTCTGCATCCCTCACCAATTGGAGTTTGTAGGTTTTGAGTCTTTGCAGACCAGCATATGTCCCCCAACGGCATTGAACAAGTCCTCTAAACTGGGCATTTTGTTCAAAATCAGTTCAAAAAGTTTTGATCAAACCTAAGCGCCAGAAACATTTCAGCGTTTGAGCCAACGGTAATGGTTACAAAGATTCAAACAGGAAGACACTGAAACGCATGGCACAAGAACCACAGAACTGAAAAAACAATGAGTATCAAAGGTGAATGATTTTTGAAATTTTTTGGGAGGGGGGTATGAAGTTTGAACTCAGGGCTTTGAGTTTGCAAAGCGGGAGCTCTATTCGCTGTATTATTTTTAAAATTCTTTAATCGCACTTTTTAACATCTCAAGACTTGTAAGGGAAAAAACTCTGATGGCACACCTAGTTTTAATTGCATTAATTTACATTCCGGATCCAAAGAAATTCCAAGGAAATTGAGATGGGCCACGATTTTGCAGCACTCAAATTTGATTAAGCAATTCAAAAGAATCTGAGAGCTCCTCCCCCCATCGCCCTCCCCGGGAGATGTGCAAGGCTTCAAAATCGCCAACCCTAGGACTGAACCTCCGCAGCCGCGAGACTCCCGCCCTCGCTGCGCCTTCCTAACAGTCGCTTCCGGTTCTGACCAAGTGGGACGCACAAGACCTCCCTCCCGGCATCCCCTGCAGCAGCTGCAGGATGAATGAGAAAGACACGCCCCTCAACGCGCGCATGCGCACACGCCGGCCGCTCTCAGGGACGGGCGCAGACACGCACGCGCACCCTGCACAGGATCGCGTGCAGACGCTCCCGGCGCGCACGCGGTCTCCCTCGGCCACTTGCCGGGCGGGCGGTGGGCGGTGCTTCACAGAGTCCCAAGAGAAGGAGGCGGGACAGCAGTGTTGGCCGGTGAGCTAGGGCCGGGTCACTGGCCTTGGCGGCACTGCTGTTGGCGTTGGCGCGGGCTGAGGCACCATGGAAGCCGAACTGGGGACAGAGCGTGGCATGCCGGACCGGACGCCGGAGGATGGCGCGCAGGCCCTGGCTGAGTTCGCGGCGCTGCACGGCCCGGCGCTGCGCGCCTCGGGCGTCCCGGAGAGGTACTGGGGCCGCCTCCTGTACAAGCTGGAGCACGAGGTGCGGACCGGGCCCTGGGCTGGGGAACCAGGCTGCAGGCGGCCCCTTGAGAGGCACGGGGAAAGGGTGCGGACTGCGAGGGATGGACCGCGGTGGACCCCTCTGCGGGAAGGGCGTGGCCGGGCCAGCACTTGCCGACAAGGTGCGGGGTCCTCGTCTCCACACGAGTGGAGAGCCGCGCGAGGTGGGAGCATGGATAAGCTGGAGACAAGATAAGCGGCTTAGACTGTCTCCCTGGCAGTAATTTAGGAACGATATGGAGTTGGGGGCCCAAGCGTGGCCTCAAGAGATCTGTACCTGGGCCTGATCCTCCAGGGCTTGGGCTGCGCTGGACTTGGAACTAAAATGCACCTGGGCTCCTGTTGTGTGCGGGCTCTGAGCCTCCCCACGCCCCCGCTGCCCTGGGTGGAGTGGGACTCATCACCCCATTTACACATAAGAACACGGGAAACTCAGGAAGCAGCGGGGCTCGTCTCCCTGGGGAGAATAAGAGCATGAGTTTGTAGCTCTCTTTGGTTCACAGAGTTCTTTGAGTTTCTTCATTTGTTGTGAGCCGCAGGTCATCCTCATTTTGCAGATTGAGAGCTGAGGCTGTGGGAAATGGAAAAAGAGGCTAAAGAAAAGTGAGAGGTTCAGAGGTTTCTAGGTTCTCCCCATTTTTATGGGATGGCTCCATCCTGCTCACCTGGCTGCTCTGATCTGGGTTTCCACAGGGTCTCCCTCCCACTTCTGGCTGAGGGGTGAGCCCTGGGAATGGCGATTTACCCAAGTGCTGAAGCCAGAGCAGCTTCAGGGCTGGCTCAGGTGTCTTTTCCTTAGCTGAAGCCAGTCTTCTGTTCAGGACACGCCTTCCTCAATAGGCTAAGGGTGCAGGTGACCAGAAGGAGCCCCAGAGAGCCAAGAGGAAGGTGTCATGCCAGAATCTAGGCGCCCCCTGAGGCTGGCTTCCAGGCAAACCCCTCTGAGCCAGTTTTTCCCTTGTATATGTCAAAGTGGACCAGATGCCTTCCTGCAAAAACACAGATAGAGCTGGGGAGTAGCTCAGTGTTGGAGTGCTTGTGTAGAATACGCCCAAGTTCCGGGGTGCATCCCCAGCACATCAAAGAAAAAAAATTTTTTTAATTAGAGGGGCATTCAGTAGAGATCAGATTTTAAATTTTGCTCTTTTCCCTGCTAGCCACATGCTGTGGAGGACAGTGCTGGGCAGTGGCAGCAGTGAGGAACAACCACAGTGAGCGGGTGGCTGTGATGTTTGGTAGGGTAGAGTATTAAGTGTATTTCCAATCTACAGTGCACAGCCCCATTGAGGTGCATCCATACTTGGTTTAAAACAGATTCCGGGCACCTCCTTTTAACACAGTGTCTGTAATGGTGGATCTCTTTTGTCCATGTGCTGTGCCCTCAATTCTGCCATCATTTCTTGAGGACTTCCCTGCTCCCAGGCCTGTGCTGGGGTGGAAAAGAACCCCAGTTTCTTAGGATAAAAGGGAGCCCGTGATGGGTGAAAGGATAGTGGATGAGCACCCTGAGTCCTGCCCTGCAAGCCTCCAGAAGCAATAGACCCTCACCGGAGCAAGTCACTGCCCCATCTGAGCCCCATCTCCATAGGGAAAGCAGGCTGATGAAACATAAGCACCTACTCCCTTGGGACTGGGGGGTAGCATGAGAAATAAGCTATAGCCAGTCCCCTCACATAGAAGGTGGTCACCAGTGTGTCCTGTCCCTCTGCCCTTGCCAGGAGCAACCAGTGTTTTTCCAGCCTTCCCCAGCTGTTATAGGCAGAGCTGAGTCACCACAGCACCAGAAGCAAACCTGCAGCCATTGTTGCAGAATGAGACCTGCCCTGGGGCCTGGGGAGGGGAGGGAGTACACCAGCAGGACCAGCACCTGCCCACTGGCCAGGCTGATGCCCCTGGGGCGTTGCCTCTGATCAGCTCCTCAGGAAGGACCAAAGTGGTTCAGAAACTACTGCCAGCCCCTCCACAGAAACCTTGTAGTTGCAGCCCTTCCCCTTGGGATACCCCCCAGCCCCATCAGGTGGGGATTGGTCACCCCAGCCCACAGCACAAGACAAGGCAAGCCCGCTGTGCCTCCAAAGGTTGGAGGTGAAAGACTGGGGAAATTGAGGACTTTATGCCTGAGTTGTGGGTGCCAGCTCCACAGCTTTCACCTAATCTTAAATGTCGGGCAGAGGACACCCCAGGGAGCCTGGAAGAGTCAAAGATGGACTTAGCTCCTGGCTTTGCTGCCCTCCCTACCTGGGAGCCAGAGCTCCTTCTGATTGTGTCTCATCCAGAAAGCCTTCCCAGGCTCTCGAGCCCCCAATACAGCTTACCTGGTAGTCCCCCAGCTATCAGCCCCAGGCAAGATCACCCTCACCACCAGAACGCTGGTCCTTCCCAGCCCACAAAAACCCTCTGTGCCTGAATAAGTTAGCTGGTTTCCACGTGCCACAGTGGTACAAGAAGTTTGAGGGCAGAACTAGCCTTTGTAGTATCCCTGTTGGGACTGTTTTATCTAATTCTTGCAGCTGTCTTAGAAGGCGGGCAGGCGGGCGGTATCCCCTTTCACACGTGAGAAAGCTGAGTTTCAGAGAAGTGTAATGGTGGCAATAGGTGTACCTAGAGCCTCAGTCCCAGCACTGTGTGTTAATTATTGAATCTCCTCACGGCCTTTTGTGGTACTCCCACAGTTGAGGAAACTGAGGCAGAGAGTGGCCAGATAACTTTCAGAAAGAATGTCACATATGTAGGAAGTGGCAAAGCCCAGATTCAAACCACTCAGCAGGGCTCCAGAATTTGAACCATTTCCCCCACCCTTTTGCTGGCTTATGACAGGCTCAGTGTGAGCGGCAGAAACTGGGACAGAGCGAGAGTCTTCTCTTTGCTGACTTGTCTGCTTTACCAGTTGTTCCAAGTTCAGAATTGTTCTTGGCCCTGGAAACCCAAGGCCCATGTCTTCCTTTCCCATCCTGCCTGAGAATTGCCCCAGGCCCCTCAGGCCCTGTGTGCTGAAGGCCTTGGGCTGCTGAGCATGGACTGACAGATGGTGGAGGAGGCACCATGGGTTGCCTCAACTGTCCTGATGCTGGATGAGTTCTGGTGAGAGGGAAGTTGGGTGTGCTCCCTGGCCACCAAGATCTTGGCTCCCCCATTCACCTCTAATGTGACCAGCCTCCCTCCGCTTTTGGTGGTACTGGGGTTTGAACTCGGGTCCTCACACTTGCTTGGCAGGCGCTCTACCACTTGAGCCATTCTGCCAGCTCCCTCTGCTTTTGGAGCCTCGTTTTCCTTGTAGAACGTGAAAGTTAGACTAGAGGTAGTTCCACCAGGTACATGCAGTGCCATTCTAAGCATAGTGTCCTGTCCATGATAGCACAGGAGACAGTAGCATGGGCTGAATCCCTAGTGGCCTCAGTTTCTCCAACTGTCAGATTTTGTGAGGAGGCTAAGCAATAAATAGGTTCCCTGCTGCTTGGAAGAAGTCCTCTGTCCCTGTAGCCTGGGTGTGGCCCTCAGGTATCCTGGAGCTGAAGTACTGGGTCTTCTACCCACATCCCCTTCTGCCCTGTGCTCTGGCCCCAGGTTTTTGATGCCGGGGAGATGTTTGGGATAATGCAAGTGGAAGAGGTGGAGGAGGATGAGGACGAGGCTGCTGGGGAAGCACGGAGGAAGCAGCCCAACCCAGGGGGCGAGCTGTGCTACAAGGTCATCGTGACCAGTGAGAGCGGGCTCCAGGTCACCAACCCCAACAGGTAGGACCGGGCTGAAGGTTGATGCTTTCCAGGCCTGGCTTCCTTTTCAAGAAAGGAAGTTACCAAGACTCTGATTGTGGGGGGAAAGCAGTTAACTATGAACCTTCAACCCTAGCGTGCTTCCCTGACCAAACTCCAGGCACTTAACCCTCAGGACAGCCTGTGATGTGTATGTGACCAGCAGTGTTTCCACACCAGCGCTGTGAGAGCCCCCTGGAAAGTATGTTTGACGTTTCCTGCAACTGCCTCTGTGTGATCTCACTTGTTAACACAGTGATCCAGCTACAGGGGTGTTTCGGCTCCTGTTTTTGCTGAGGAGGAATCAAATCCCCAAGAAAAGGCCTTACGCGAGTCACCCAGATGTCAAAGGGTGTGAGTGCTTGAGCCCAGCTTTGCTGAGAACCCGGTGCACCTCCAGGCCTGCCCAATCTGAGTCTTGGGGAAGGGTCTCAGGAAGCAGAAGGACCTGAGACCTGGAGCACCCCTTGTCTTGCTCAGGGCTACGCAGTCATTGGATCAGAGCCAAGACTGGACTGGGGGCTTCCTGCCTTCCAAGAATTGGGGGGGTAGGAGATCTGTCTTCAATCAGGGCAGTCCTGCAGGTTGTCTTGCCAAGCTTTGTTGGAAGCTAAAGGAAGAAACTTGTCAGCCTCTAAGAGTCACCAGGATCTAGTCTCTTCTGCTGAGCTTTTTCCCACCACCTTCACCAACCCAGGAGTGAGAGGGCCAGGACTACCCAGCAGCTCAGCACAGCACACACACCATGTGCTTGGGCTTTTGTCTCTGAGTTTCTCCAATTGCCAGGCCCAACAAGCTTCTCCATGCTCTGCCCTGCACCTATCTGAGTGCAGCATCCTTATCACATTAGCTCATGATCACCCCAAACACACACCTTTGAAGAAATGGCTCTGCACAGAGTCAGCTCTAGTTGTCAGCTGTCAGCACAAGAGCAGTAGTAAATCATTTGTCTCAAAGCAAACTTAATACAAGCACATCTGAGCACAGTGGTACATGTCAGTGGTACATGTCAGTAATCCCAGCTAAACAGGAGGCAGAAGCAAGAGGATCCACAGTTCAAGGCCAGCCTGGGAAAAGTTAGAGAGATAGTATCTCAAAAACAAAAGAAAAGTTCTGGGGACATGGCTCAAATGTGCCTGCCTAGCAAGCACAAGGGCCTACGTTCAAACCCCAATATTGCCAAAAAAGGGGACAGGGGTCTGAGAGTGTGCCTCAAGTGCAAGTTCAGGGGTCTGAGAGTGTGCCTCAAGTGCAAGTTCTTTCTTAGCACATGGCCCTGAATTTAATCCCCAGTACCACAAAAAAAGAAAAAGTGTATTTCTATATGCACAATAAGATGCTTCTGAACCTAAAAACTGGCACATTTGTCGTCCCTTTCATTCTGCAGGAAGAATGAGGTCATGGCGTCCCTGGGGCATTTCTGTGTCTGGAGCAGGACTCTGGACTGGTACCTGGGTAGCCTCTGTCCTGAGGAGTGGGAGTTGTGCCAGAGCACCTCGCCTGCCACAGCTTTGCAGGAGCCGTGTGGGCTGCCGGCGTTCATGGGCAGGGACTCCAAGCCTGAACCACAGAGCCCTGGGTTTGTGTGAGGATGTGCACATTGAGTGTAGGCCAGCTCTGCGTGCCTGCTTGCTTTTTTTTTTTTTTTTTTTTTTTTAAGAGGTACTGGAAAACTAAACCCAGGGCCTCAGATGTTAGGCAGGTGCTCTACCACTTGAGCCATGCCCTCAGACTTTTGTGTGTGTTTTATTTTTGAGATATGGTCTCACTGACTTTTCCTGGACTGGCCTCAAACTCAAGATCTTCCTGCCTCTGACTCCAAAGTAGCTGGGATTATAGATATAAACCATTGTGCCTGGCAAGCCTTTGTTTTTGCTGAGCACTGGCCAGATGGAGGATGGGCCCGTGCTGCCCAGAGCCAGTGTCTGACACTTCAATGATTGCTCTTATTACAGGCATTCACCATGGTCAGTATGGTGGACATCTGAATCTGTGTGAAGCTTGTATCTGCTTGGGGATGGGAGATGGGGACCCCTGTTGCCCTGCTTTAGAGCTTGGAGAAGGAGAAGGGTTTGTTCAGGCCCACACACCGGGAGACAAAGCTGGGGTCTTGGCCCAGGCCTCAGGGCTCCAAAACCGCATAATGATGGTGTTGGGGAAACCAAGTCTCAAAAGGGCTGGGTGCCAGGTACCAGCCACAGCCCTGGGCCTCTCTGCCTCTGCCTCTTCCCTCTGGTCCTCTCTCTCTTCCCCTTCCTGCCACGCCTGCCTGGCAGCTAATGTGCAGCCTGTGCCTGCAGCATCTTCCTCATCGACCACGCCTGGACATGTCGTGTGGAACACGCACGCCAGCAGCTGCAGCAGGTGCCTGGGCTACTGCACCGCATGGCCAACCTGATGGGCATCGAGTTCCATGGCGAGCTGCCCAACGCGGAGGCTGTGGCCCTGGTGCTGGAGGAGATGTGGAAGTTCAACCAGACCTACCAGCTGGCCCACGGGGTAAGCGGGCACCAGCCCTAGGGCAGGGGAGTACAGCCCACAGACACAGGCCTTCACAGCTGGGCCACCAAGGCTGGTGGGGCAGCCACAGTGAGCAGACTCAGTTTGTCCTGTGGCCCATGGAAACCCTGCACAGTCCCTATGTCTTCAGGAGCTGGTCACTTCCTTGCATGGATCCAGGTGCCCATCCAACCTTTGAGCTCACAAGTCACAGCCTTCTCAGACCCCTAACTTTGTGCCCAGATGACTCAGCTACCTCTTCTAATCCTGTCACCCTCAATGGTTCTTCGCCACCCTAGGGAGGATTGGCATCTCTGGGCCTCCATCACCCACCCCTGTGGTCTCTCTAGGCTCCCACAACAAGCACCAGCCCCTCAACACTCTTAGACTGGAAAAGGACATGCTTGTTTCTAATGATTCAGCTCTGATACCACCTCCTCCAGGAAGCCTTCCCTGAACTCAAAGCCTCTCCACTCCCAAAAATCCCAAATCCAAGCTCCTCCATGCGTTTACTGGGCTGAGTGCTGTGTTTCCATGCACCCTGTGACACGTAACTTCTCACATTGCATTATGTGGATCTGTGTTCTGGTGTGCAAGGCCAGGCCCTATCCAGCAGGCCTGGGCTGATTATCCCCTGGGGGACCCTCCAAGCCCAGGACAGTTGGGCAGAGGTGGGTAAGTGGGTGGATTGGCAGAGCAGCACGGTGATACACATGTGGCCAAGGGTTACCACTGTGCTATGCCTGCAGACAGCCGAGGAGAAGGTTCCCGTGTGGTACATCATGGATGAGTTTGGCTCGCGGATTCAGCATGCAGACGTGCCCAGCTTTGCCACGGCACCCTTCTTCTACATGCCCCAGCAGGTGGCCTACACGCTGCTGTGGCCCCTGAGGGACCTGGACACAGGTGGTAAGTCAGGCGCCTGCCCGTCCCAGATGATGGGCCTTGGGCAGGCCTCATGCAGCCCCTGCTGATGGGCACACGTGTCTTGGTGCAGAGGAGGTGACCCGGGACTTTGCCTATGGAGAGGCAGACCCTCTGATCCGGAAATGCATGCTGCTGCCCTGGGCCCCTGCCGACATGCTGGACCTCAGTTCCTCCACGCCCGAGCCGCCTGCCGAGTACTACCAGGTGTGGTCTTCCACCTCTGATCCCAGGCCTGTGTGCTTGGTGGCTTCTGGAACATTCTCCATCCGGTTCCCAGATGTTACCAGACACCATCTGAATGCTGAGCCCTGAGCTGGTTTCTACAGGAGGTGGGGAAACATTTGGGGAGCACCCAAGAGACAAAGGCTTGGTGTGAGCCTGAACTGCCTTTTGCTACACAGCTTGATCGCCGGTCCTTATCTAGGTGTTGGGGTGCCTGGTGCTAGGAATCTGTCCTTTGAGAGGGTTGGGTGGAGCTGGGGCTGCTGTTATAGAGGTGCTACTGGGAGAGAAAATGTGGTTCTGGCAGCCTGATCTGGCTGTGGACCCTGCTCCATCCCTCATGATGCCTCCCTCACCAGGCGTCCATGGGGATTGGTTCCACAACCTGGATGCTGCAAGTCCCTTATACAAAGTGGCACAGTAGTGCATAGAACCTATGTCCTTCTGCATTCATGGGGTTTTTTGGCAGTACTGGGTTTGACTCAGGACCTCTTGATTGCTAGGCAGGCGCTCTACCACTGAACCACACCCCCACCCCTTTTTGCTGTAGTTATTTTTCCAATAAGATCGCACGTTTATCCCCCGGCAGCCTGGACCAGCCTCCTCATATTCACACTTCCCACAATAGCTGATATAGCAAGCACACGTGTGGATTTTTTGCCAATGCTGGCCTCAAACAGATCTTCCTGGTCTCTGCCTCCCAAATAGCTATGATTACACACTTGAGGCTTGAGCCACCTCTCCCGGTCCTCCTGTATGTTTTAAACCATCTCTAGATGACTTATAGTTCATAATGCATTGGAGGTGCTGTGTAAATAGTAGTTACTCTGTATCACTAAGGGAGTAATGACAAGGAAAGAAAGTCTGCATATTGGGTACACACTAAGTTTTTTTCCTCTTTGGGGAGGATTTTTGCTATTTTTTGGTTTTTGAGACAGGGTCTTAATATATAGCCAAGGCTGACCTCGAACTAGATGTGTAGTCCAGGTTGTCCTCAAAATCAGAATCTTCCCACCTCGGCCTCCTGAGTGAACCATGTGCCACCACACCTAGCTTGTTTTTTATTGGGTTTTTTTGTTTTGTTTGCCGTACCAGGTTTTGAGCTCAGACCCTCATGCTTATTAGGCAAAAGCTATCACTGAACTGCATCTGAGTCCTCGCCACCACGCCTTGCTTGTGTTTCGTTGGGTTTTTTGTTTTGTTTTTGTTTCTTTGTTTGCAATACCTGGTTTTGAACTGAGGACCTCATGCTTACTAGGTAGGAGCTATCACTGACCTATGTCCCAGTCCTCATATATCGTTGACCCATCATTGGTCAAGTCCTAGAAAGTGGGGCCTGCACCTCCAGGGGTTTGCTGTGTGTTCAAACATTGTGGCTCATTTCCCAGCATACAGCAGGCCCTCCACAAGTGGTTCTTATCGTCACTGCTGCTAATAACAAAGCTACTTTTTGGCCCATGGGCAGCCTCGTGGATCCAGGTAGCCCACTCAGAAGTGCTGGCTGGTGATGAGAGTTCATGCCGGGACAGTACCAGAGGAATGGGGGACACTGTGGCTCCAGGTGGGGAGGAGGGCTGGAGTCCAAAACCAAGGAGTGTGAGAACTCACGGACAGAACTACAGACCTTGTCCCACTGGGTTTGAGTTGCCTAGTGTTAGACATCTGGTGCTTCCTGAGTACCTCAGAGGTTGTGGAGAGAATTAACAAGTTAAGGTGACAGGGAATGGAAGTACCGAGAGCACCAGTGTCCCCAAGTGTGCCACTGATTGGCAGGGTGGCCTGCAGCAGTGGTTGTGGACTATGCTTCAGGAAGCCAGTGGGGAGCAAAGGAGCCATGTAGTGCCTCAGTGACTCAGAGGCAGGCCTTAAGGCCTCCTGCTGCGTGAATGTGGGACTAAGTGAGTGGGGGTGTGGAGCAAGGGTGAAGGAGGTTGGGGACAGTCACGCACTGGACTGGAGACTAGCTGTTAATGAAACATGAAGTAAAGTTAGTATTCTTCTTGGGAATCCCTGCATTGAGCTGGAAGAGGAGCAGGAGGCCAGGTCCCCTCTTCTGAAACTCCCTTGTTCCTATCTGAGCCGTTGGGACCAGACTGCACTCTGGCCTTGGGGTTGCCTGTGCTGGTTAGCTGTGCGGCTGATGGCAAATTACTCCACATCCCATCGGCTTAAGACGGCAAATGTTTATTATCCCCCTCCCCCCTACACATGCACGCACGCGCACACACACACATGGTTTCTGTGGGGCCAGCACTCAGCTGGTGCTTCTAGCTCACAGCCACCCTCCCTAGGGTTGCAGAGTCTGAGGCTCCCTGGGGCTGAAGCCCTGCTTCCACTTGCTGGCTTGTTGGCAGGTGGCCTTGGCTCCTCCACACAGGGGCCAAGTAATCCCAGAGAAAGTGAGGAGGAAGCCACGGAGCCTCCCTGACCTGAACACTTGTCTTCTACTTTCATTTCTGTTCTCCAAAAGCAACTCACTAGGTCTAGCCACCCTTGCAGGGATAGGCTGAACTCTGCCTTTAGAAAGGTGTGTCAAAGACTTTGGACATGTTTTCATCTGTCATGCGACTTAAGCTTGGAAAACCCCTCAGGGCTCCCTAGAACCAAGCAACCCCTCCCAGGACAGGCTTGGCACCCTTAGCCATGCGATTTGCTGCAGTGCTGAGGAGACTGAGAACAGTGTTTGCCTTGCTCTGTGGACACCAGACTAGGGCTGTTTAGTGCTGAGGGCTGAGTTCCAGAGTTCCAGGGTAGGGTGGCCCCACTGCTATATGCTGAGAGCCTGGTTTGCTGGGTCAGGGAGACCCGTGTGACTGTCCCCTTCACTGAGGTCTGCTTCTGCCTCTGGTGTGTTTCCTTCTAGGCGATTTTGGAGGAAAACAAGGAGAAACTGCCATTTGCCATCAGCCCAGTGGTGTGTCCCCGTGACCACATTTATAAGTATGTAGCCCCTTTGCTGCCGGTGTGGACTTGACCTCCCTCAGTCACTGTCTCCCACATTCAACCCTGGTCCTCAGCAGTGTGTGCCACACAGACCCCACTCAGTCATCTGGGGTCTTGGCAGCTAGCAGTCTGGGCAGGCAATGACTGAGTAGCAGGGTGGAGTTCTTAGATCACAGAGAAAATGCCACAGAAAGTGAGAGGGCAAGCAGGGCTTCCTGGAGGAAACAGGTTTTAAACTCACCCTTGAAAGTTAGAAACAGGGGGCATGGCAGTACAGACCTATAATCCCAGTGCTTGGGAGACTACAACCCCGGCTGCCAGGAGGGGCTGTCCCCAAGAGTGCACAGACACACAGGCTGGTGAGTCATGGAATTCGTGAAAGCAGGTCTGGGCCGGGCCCTGTGTGGAATCAACCGGCGCTCTGTTAGAGGCAAGGAAGTGGAGGTGCCAACAGCCACAACCATCTCATTCTAAGCCATGGTCTCTGCCTTCATGGAAGCCCCTCGCAAAATGTGGCCCAGCAGAAACAGGCAACATCCTCCACTCTGCCCCCTTTTGATAGGTCCTAGGAGCGCCCACCCTGTGCCGGGCTCTCCCTTTGCCTGAGGCCTCTCCTGAGACAGGTCAGCTGTGTCCTGCCCCATCCCTCCATCTCCTCCAGGACAGAAGCCTCATGGAGACCCACTCAGGGTCCTGCTCACAGCTGGGCTTCACAGTCACTCTCCATTAACAGGGGTACAGTGCTGGGTGTCTGCGCCCTTCCCCCGCCCCTCCCCCCAGAGCAGGCTAGTGCTATGCTTCTGAGCACCCCCAGAACCACTGCACCCCTTATCCCTGGCTTTTCTGTCCTGTGCCCTTCAAAAGTGTGGCTGTCTCCACCACCCCTAGCAGGTGGGCTCCTAGGTTCCATCCTCACCTCTGTCCAGGGTGCCCAGGGCCACTGACTCCTGCCTCAGTGGCCAAGTGGTATGTCCATGGGAGATTGATGGTGACAGCCCATCAGTCCCTGTGTGGAATTGCACTTACTAAACCATCCTGCTGCTTCATGATGACAAGTGAGGCGGACCCCATGCAGTGGTGAGCCTGGGGACATAAGTTTCATCTGCCCTCTGCAGTCAGGCAGAGGAAATGAGTCTAAGCCCAACCACCAACGTTGAGCCTTGAGCCCAGTGGGCCCTGCTGACTCCAAGCCAAGTGGCCACCACTCAGCTCAGGCATCTCCTACAGGGTCCACACGGATGTGCAGCAGGTGCTCAGCCACCTCACTCACCCTCGCTTCACCTTCACCCAGAGCGAGGCTGACGCTGACATCCTCTACAACTTCTCACACTTCAAAGACTACAGGTGGGGGCACCACCTCCCATTCCACAGGGGTCTCCAAACTAGGACTCCTGGCCACCCTCTGCCTCCCCAGCCCTGAGCCATCCTCCAAGCCACCCATTCTTGCCTCTGCCTACAGGAGGCTCAGCCAGGAGAGGCCAGATGTGCTGCTGAACCAGTTTCCATGTGAGAACCTGCTGACGGTGAAGGACTGTCTGGCCTCCATTGCGCGCCGGGCGGGGGGTCCAGAGGGTCCCCCCTGGCTGCCCCGCACCTTCAACCTGCGCACTGAGCTACCCCAGTTTGTCAGCTACTTCCAGCAGCGAGAAAGGCGGTAAGCACCCAGACATAGGCAGGTGGATGGAGACCCCGGGACATTCCATCACCCACCTGCAGCCCCAGCCCCTGCACTCGTCTTTATTCTGTGCACACCACAGTACTGGGTCACAGGTACTATCAACTTCTTTAGGTGCCTTGGCTGGGGAGAGGACTCCTGTCCCCAGCACAGCTCCCTGTGTGGGACACCTGGCCAAGAGGCAGGCCACAGGTGCGGCTCAGCCATTCCCTTGCTCCCTCAGGGGTGAGGACAACCACTGGATCTGCAAGCCCTGGAACCTGGCCCGCAGCTTGGACACCCACATTACCAAGAGCCTCCACAGCATCATCCGGCACCGGGAGAGCACCCCTAAGGTGGGCCGTGGGCCAGGGCCTCTCGGCTAGGTCCAGGTATCTGGAAGGAAGAGGAACTGAGTTTCCTGTACCACTGCCTTGTGGCGGGGGGGGGGGGGGGGGGGGAACCAATCCAGGTGAAAGCAATTAGAACTGCCCAAGGCCTCAAGACCCCTCACAAGGCCCGCTGTGCTATGACTGCCCAGCAGGAGGTGTGCCAAGCTTTCAGGTCTATGATGGTGATCCCATTAGGATGAGATACCCAGAAGTATTCCCCACCCCAGAAGCCGTGCTGGGGGATCACAAAACATGTAATCCAGCAGGGCCGAGACTGCAGTGGTGGCCTTGTACATGGCAGAGGCTGGACTCAAAGACAATCCTTGGGGCAACTGGGGGAAGTGGGATGGGGTGGGTAGATGAGAGTTTCTGTTTTTAAAACCTGAAAACTGGTAAGATGCTTTTTTCTTCAATTAGAGATGGTTGTAACACAGGGTTTGAAAAGATAGGAGAAGCAAAGGGCGGCTATGGCTGGCCCGGTAGCGCTGGGTCCCTGTGGACACAGAACAGTTCCGCTCACAGGTGCAAGGACTGCATGGTGCTCTCCTGCCTGGCACGGTGAGAGCTGCTGGCAAGCCCCACCTGCCCTTTAGGTTGTGTCCAAATACATTGAGAGCCCCGTCCTGTTCCTCCGAGAAGATGTGGGGGGCGTCAAGTTCGACATCCGCTACATCGTGCTGCTGCGCTCGGTGAGGCCACTGAGGCTGTTCGTGTATGACGTGTTCTGGCTGCGGTTCTCCAACCGGTACCTGGGGAACTGGCTGGGTCCCATGGGTTGTTGGGGGTGCTGGGTGACCAGATAGGGATATCCAGAGACCCCTTCTTCACCGTGGGGCCCTGCACTGAACCCAGCCCACTACCACTCATGAGTGATGGGCCCTGCCCCCCCAAGTTCTGCAGTGGATGTGACACTCCTGGTGAGATAGTAGGCACCAGCACCAGCACGAGCCTCCTGATGGCAGGTCATGGTCTATAGACCATAACCACAGTTACCACATCACTCGCCCTGCCACACTTTGAGGGGGCTGAGGGTCTGCCCCACCCCCACAGACTAGGGAACTGGTTCCCAGCCAGAAGGCTCAGTCAGTGAACAGCTATGTGCAGTGCTCAGGAACTCACACGGTGTCTCTTGGTCCTCTGTCTAGGCCCTTTGCACTCAACGACCTGGATGACTATGAGAAGCATTTCACTGTCATGAACTACGACCCAGATGTGGTACTGAAGCAGGTAGAGCCTAGGGGAACTGGGGAGCAAGTTCTAGGTTCTAGGACTGACACAGTGGCTCAAGTGGCAGCACACCTGCTAGTGGTGGCCACTTGCAGGTCCTGGGTCCTCTCTTCAGCCTCCAAGCAGGGGCTCAGTGGGCCCCACCCAGTGGGTACTTGTGCTGTTCAGATGCTAGGACCAAGGGGCATCAGGGAAAAGACCTTCCAAAATGAAGTGTCACACAGCTGGCCAGCAGCATGCGTGGGACAGGAAGGCACAGCATGCGCAGAAGCCAGGGGCCAGCTGTGGGTCCTGGAAGGAGAAAAGGAGAAAGGGCTGCTGGGTTTGTTGCCCCAGCGCCCTCTCTGCCTTGCTGGCCAGTTCACAAGCGTTTCAGGCAGACAAAACATCTTTCCACCTGCCCCACCCCTCCCTCTCCCAGATAGGTGAATGTCCTTCCCAGACGCATCTTGATCTTTCCACAGAAGTATGTCCCTGAACAATTGAAATCATTGTTTCTATGTCAATAGCATGTGACCAACATGTCCTCCCGAGACTCTTAGAGTAGCAGCAGGTCATCCCTGTGTCTTTCCCACTGTCATAAATTTGTGCCTCTTGGACCCAGGAGGCACTTTGCCTTTCTGTGTCTGAGCCCCCGTCTAGGAGGGGGAAGGAACTGCCACACTCCAGGGGGCAGAGCATAGCTAAGTGGTCCTATTGCTTCTTGTCCCTCTTTTGTCCCTGGTCATGTTGAAGGTTGGGGCCCCAGAACACTGTTGGAAGCTGTCCCTAAGGACACCAAACCCCACTCCTCTGCCTCATGAGTGGCTGTCAGAGGCCCGGTGTGCAGGGACATGTGTCCAGCAGGGTGTGGATGCTGATCCTCTATAGGGCTTGTCCCAGTTTGTCCTCCAGGAGATGTCTGAGCCAGCTTGCTCAGGTGTGCTTTAGGTAAAGTCTTAACCTAGAGGAGACCTGGCTGTCTGTCAGGCACCTCCGAGCCAGTGCAGAGTGGTTGACATGGGTGAACCCTGCAGCCTAGAGTAGGCTGTTCTGACCTGGGTATGATGAGCAGGCCTGGCATCCCCCCAAGCCCTGGGCATTCAGCACCTCTCTTGAGCCTTATAGCAGTTCTGTAGTCAGTGAGCAGGACAGGGAGGAGGAAATAGACTCAGAAGTTAATCTGCTTGTCTCACAGTGGGATCCAGAGTTTAACCCCATCCCCTGCCTCCCATTTGTTCCCTGAGGGACTGGGGCCAGACACTGACCTGCCAATGCTGATTCTTGTGACCCCAGTGAGTGTCAGAGGTACCAGGGCAGGGAAGGGTCAGGTGTCCCCTTCCTGCCTGGAGGAGGCCCCAGCAGAGCGTGACAGCCTGGGTCTGTTGCAGGTACATTATGACGAGTTCATCCCCCAGTTTGAGAAGCAATACCCAGAGTTTCCCTGGAGTGGCGTCCAGGTGAGTCCTGGTCTTCATGGTGGGGAAAGGTAGGGGCCTCCAGGAGCCGCCCTTCCTTCCTGGGCTGGGTGGGGTTTTAGTCTCCTCTAGACAGTTTCCTCCCACCAAGGCTAATAGAGATGGCTCCACTAAGACCATCCCCTCCTTTGTACATTGTACCTGCACATTGGGATGAAGTGGGGTCCCTCACCAGTGTACCCCTAGGACAGCCAGGGCATGATGGGCTTCACCTGCCCTAGGAATCCAAGCCTACTTCCTGGAGGTGCAAGCTGGGTTTCCATGTCCCTGGAGTGAGCCACAGGGACTGTAGGACAGAAGAACCAGGCAGATTCTCAGAGAGTAGACTGGGGTGTGTTTCAGTGATACAGTGCTTGCCTCACATGTGTGAGGCTTGGGTTCCATCCCCAGCACCAAAAGAAAAAAGAAACAACACCAAGCAGGCCCCATAACTTGACTTATCTCATCCCCAGGCTCAGATCTTCCAGACCTTCACAGAGTTATTCCAGGTGGCATGTGCCAAGCCACCACCCCTGGGCCTCTGTGACTACCCCTCGTCCCGAGCTGTGTATGCTGTTGACCTCATGCTGAAATGGAACAGCCGTCCAGATGGTAAGGGGGCTCCACAGCCAGAGCCCATGGCCCAGACCTCCCCAGCCTGCACCCAAGGAAGAAGAGTGAGCACTGCTGCCCTTTGCCCAACAGAGCTATCCTTGGCTGTCCTCTGACTGGAATCAGCCAGAAAGTCCAGACGGAGGGGGCGGGGGCGGGAGCAGCCTTACATGGCCCACTAGGAAGGGGGGACAACTGCTGCAGTACACCTGGCAAAGGGAAGGGTAGCAGGCTGGCATGGAGACAAGGAAAGAGCTCACAAGGCCAGAGCCCAAGAAGCACCATGCAACCCTGGCAAGACCCCTTTGTGTCAGAGCCAGAGACATCTCTCTTATTAAACCTGTCATTCAAGCTTGAAGGGACACATGCTCCTTGTCCCTAGTGCTGGGGGTGGGTGTCGGGCTAGGAGATCTGCAGTCTACCTGCTGTGAGACTTGGGCCCAGGTCAGTGTCCCCTGACTATCAGAGGCCCCAGCCTGCCCTCCCAGGAGCAAGGTACTCCCAGCCTTCCCACCAGTCTGTGCTTCGCCACCAGGGAAGCGAGTGATGCAGCCACAGATCCTGGAGGTGAACTTCAATCCTGACTGTGAGCGGGCCTGCCGGTACCACCCCACCTTCTTCAACGACATCTTCAGCACCTTGTTTCTGGACCAGCCCAACAACTGCCATGTCACCTGCCTCATCTAGGCACCTGCGGCCCTTCCACCTGTGCTTGCAGGCCAGGTCCAGCCTCAGTTCACTGAACTGCTTCTGTAGGGTCTCCATCCCCCTCCTCATCCTCCTTCCCTCCTTGGGTCACAGCCCCAGCGCAAGTCCTCTGTCCTGAGCCTTTGTCCCGCTTCATTCCTTGGGACTTTGGCCTACCCCATGGGCCAGAGCATGGACAGTGAGGGTGTCTGCCCAGCTGAGCATTGCTGTCCACACTCCTCTCCACTGTCTGTGCCCTGACAGGTCTCCACCTCAGCCAAGGGCTTTATTCCTGGCATTAGGAGTTTGGTTTCCAGAGGTGTTAGGGGAAGAGGAGCTCCTCAGAAACAGTGTTCATAAGGAAGCATCTGGGAGCCTTGTGTCTAACGGGGCCAGGCAGGTCTCCTCCAGTCTCTGCCCTCCTGCCTTGTGCCCCATCCCCCAGCCTCCGGGCAGGTTGTCAGCATTCCACACTTGTGCCTAAGGGGCTTTGTGTGACAGGGCCCCAGGACAGCTTGGGGGACCCAGCCCTATGCCCTTCATAAGGTTCTGCACTCCACCAGAACCTTCGCCAGCAAACCTCCCACTGATGTGCAGGAAGGAAGGCCATCTGTTGCTGGCCTCATCCTCTTGGAAGCCAGCAGTGGCCTCCCTGCTTGCTAGGCACCTACCTCTGAGATGGGCTGGGGTCCTCTGGGAATGAGGGGCTTAAGGGCAAGTGTGGGAGGTTGCACAGCACAAGATAGGGAACAGCTTAGAAATGCCAATTGCTAAGAGAAGATGGGTCCACAGAGAACTTTATGTTAAAGTTTTAGACCATCTTCTACCGAGATCTAGAGTCAAAATGCTGCAGTTTTAATTTATGAGAAGAAAATGTAAAATTCTGGGTTTTTTCCTGGAATTTGGAGTCCACTGCCAGCATTTTTGTGTAGCCACAGCACAGTGGACCTAGCTTGTTAGTGGGTAAGTCTGGCTATAGGTGGCAGGAGCTGCTTCCAGAGCCTTCTGGTGCTCCAGGGGGGCAAGCCAGATGCTGTGACGTTTGTTCATTTTGGAAGCTAAAACTGGACATAACCCTGCCTGCCAGCTCTATCTCTTGGAGACTAGGCCACCTCAGCTAGTGACACCCTTAGCTAGTCATTGCCCAGCATGATGGGAAGGCTGCCAAGGGCAAAATTGACACTTCTGTGATCCTTTCCCTGGAGAGCGGACGTCCTTCCCTCCATGTTCTGTTTCTACTGCAGTAAAGTTTGCTTTCTTTCATGGCTGGCCTTTCAGCTGTCTCCCTGCCCCACTGATGTAGGCAGAGCCTGACGTGTCACAATGTGGGCTTTGGGAAACAGGAGAAAGACCACCAAGTTGAGACCTCCAAGTCTCCCAACCCACAGCTTGACTTCTCAGCACAGGCCCCAATTCAAGGGTCCAGGGGAGAAATGAGCCCCACCCATGCTGTCTCCACCAATGATGCCCCAGGATCCTTGGGGCCTGATTTCCCAGCTAGCATATTCCTGAGTCTGCTTGTCCTGGGAGTGGGGGTGGTGAGAACCCCCTCCACACACAAACAACTCTTCCTGAGGTATCAGGAGGGCTTGAGGGGCTGGTGGAAAGGCATAGGTGGAGCTGGGTAGCAGTGACACCAAGTTTGGAGAAGGGAGGTTAAAGCCTGCAGAAGACAGCAGCCCCAGGAGGGCTGGTGCAGAGGCCTGCACCCCTCACTGTTCCTATGAGAGGGTCTCGTGCCTCTCAAGGATGAAGTCAGAGACTGTGCTCTGCTGGCTCCCAGTTGACCTGAGAATGCACCCAGGATGTGCACTGAGTGGACAGGTGGCCACCAGCATTGGGTGTGCAATCTAGCATTCCCTAGTGAACCAGAAATTACACATGTTCCTTGTCCCTAGGTGTCTGTGCAAACATGACCCCCAACAAAGCCATTGGCGACCAGGGACTCGGTGTTTCTCATCCCACCGACTACTCCCTGGCCTCATTTGCACCCTCAGTCCATCAAAAGCCAGTGTGTGTTGTATTGGGCACTTGGCTATAGTGGCTGCTGCCTGGGAAGTCCCACAGGAAAAGCTCCAGTGTCAGGTTGGAGTGTGGGAAGTGGTCTGGGTGAGGCATGAGGCTGTGGGGATCTGCCTGCATTGGCAGCTGTTTGAGCCAGGGTGCTGATCACTGCATGGTCAGCACAGAAGAGGCTGCTGACTCATGGCCGGCCATGAAACTGACACATTGGACAGTCTCCTCAGTCACTGTCTTCACTGCAGCTGGGCAAGCCCTCCTGGGCTGTGTGAATGGCCATGGCCTTGTCTGGCATCCTTGTGGCAGGTCAGCTAGTGATCAGTGCAAATGTGTGGGCAAAAACCTCAGCTACGTAGCAGACCTTAGGCCAGAAGAACTTGAATCACTTGTTTCTCCAGGGTATTTGTGGCTAGTAGGTGGTGTGGGCTACTGCTGAGCCAAACAGCCACACGTCTGTGGGACAGTGGACTGAACTACTACAAAGACCCCGGAAGTCCCAGGTGGGCTTTCCGTAGGTCCTAGTGTCTGACACACATGGGGTCTGTGACATCTCAAGGGTCATCCTATGCCTTGTGGGGACTGCCCACACAAGGCTGGGGCCTACAGGTGCTGTCTTTGCAAGAGCCTCTGCCATCTGTGCTCACACAGCATTTCAGGGTTCAACACAGCCCATCTCAGAATTTTAGAGACAAGGATTCACCAGAGGGCCCGTCCACCTGCTCCCATAAAAGCCATGGGAGAGCTGGCGGAGGGCTCCGCCAACTGTGCCAAGAAACTTCTAGATCCCTGCAGAGCATCTTGTTGGCACCAGGGTCTACCACAGGCCAGTGGGAGGCAGGTTAGCAGGAGGGAGACTGGGGCCACAGCTACCCCTTCTCAAATGCAGCCACTATCATGGCTCAACTCTCCCAGCTTGGGTTTTTTGTTTTGTTTAGGGCAGGGTCTCTCTCTAGGTAGTCCGGGCAGGCCTGCTTGTAAACCTCCTGTCTCGGCCCCCGAGTGCTGTGATCACAGCACACACCTGACTTCTCCCCAGGCTTTTCTTACCATCCTGTCAGTTCTGGGTGTGTGTGTGTGGAGGAGGACCTGGGAGGCAGGAGAGGGACTCACAGCCTCAGGTGCCAAAGCAGTGCCAAGACCTCACCAAAACACCAACATTTCGTCATTTAAATTAGTTTGATCTCATCAACCAAAACTAAGATGCCCAGCTGTGTATGGCCCAGGCCTGGCGCTGGAGAGGAGGCTGTGGCCCTGGCCGTACACAGCTGCCATGCCAAGTGCGATAGGGCAGGGGCCATGACAGGACAGGAGGCCCACCAGTGCCTGTGAGCACCTGTTTTACTCAAGGCTGGGGTCACCCGGTTGAAAATCTGGGGGGAGGGTAGGATGACAGCTCCTAGTCTGGGTGAGTTGGCCAGCAAGAAAGCTGTCACTGGGGTTGGGGCCTGGCCCTTATTGTCTCTGGCACCTCCCTTCCTGCCAGTTGGATGTTAATGGGGCCATTCCTAGAGGGGAGAGGCTGGCACCCAGGACAGGTCAGCCTGCATCCCCAGTCCTGAGCAGAGTCAGACACCGGACTCTGGTTGTGCATCTTGAAAGCTCACCTCCCCCAGGCACGGCCCTCGTCTCCAGCTGGGGGCAGCCTGCCCCACCTCTTTCAGGGTCTTGGGAAGGTGCCAACCAAGGTGCTCTCCAGTTTCTTTTGCATGGCTGTGACTGAGATGCCCCAGAGAACAGCTTACAGGAGGAAGGGTTTTATTTTGCTCACAGTTCCAGAGGGTTCAACCCATGGCGTGGTCCCATGCTCTTAGAGCACCATGGCTGGGGGAAGGTGTAGAGGGCGAGGTTGTTCATCTCACGGCAATGAAGCAGAGTGAGGGAAGGACTGGGGACCTGATGTGCCGTCAAACGCACAGCCCATGACCTGCTTCCTCCAACCGGGCCCCACCTCCTAAAGTTTCCACCCCTCCGAAACCAGCTGGGGAGCAAGTGCTCAACACGCAAGCCTGTGGGGAACGTGCCATACGGCACTGAAGCGGATCCTCCCAACCTCAGGGGGCAGCTCCGTCCTGTGTGGCCTCAGTCCCTGCGCCTCCCCACAGCCAGCGGTCCCAGAGTACAAAATTCTCTGCACAGGTAGTTAGAACTTTATTTGCTTATAAAACGCCATGGTCTGGGAGCGTGCTCTGAGCGGTACACAGGTGCAGGATGCAGCACCTGAGCAGGGCGACCCCCGGCCAAGACCCACACAGACCAGCAGGCCTGGCGGCCCTGAAAGTGTGGTGATCGCCACCAGCCATGGCACCTGGCGGGCAGTGGCTGAAGTCTCTGCAGGCTGGACATCTTCACTCTGGGAGCCGTCGGCCACCACGCCAGCCACGGTTATCCCGCCATACGCAGTAATTGAGCGTGGTTGCAAAGGCCAGCCAGGCCAGGTAGGGGTAGAGCAGGCGGGCAGCAGGTGGGCTCACCCGGTGCCAGGCCAAGGTCGTGGCTGTGGCCGCCCCAGTGATCAGCAGGAGGTCCACCAGGGCCTGGGAGGACACAGGGACAAGAGACCTGAGGCTCCACAGGACACGAGTGTGTGTACCCCAGCTGCTCTGGGCATCAGGATCCTCTCCAGCCCCACTCCAGCCTCAAGAGGCCCAGCCATGCCCTCCCATCCTCAGCCTCAGTTTCCTTGTCTATAAAATGGAAGCCATTCCTCCCTCACCTGTGCATGTGTGGGGCGTACCTAACAGGGCCCTGGGAGACGCAGCACGACCAAGGGTGAGGTGGTGGCTGGCAGGCCTCAGGCCTCCAATGGTCTGGACTCCCCTACACAGGCTCAGCAAGAGCTGCCCACGCTGGCCTGGAGCTCCTGGACTCAGGCCATCCTCCCACCTCGGCCTCCCGAGGGCTGGGACTGCAGGTGCAGCCAGTGCACCCAGCTCCACAATCGCTTTTGCAGACGTTTACTTGGCTGTGAGCCTCGTGCCTCCCCTACCATCTTCAGGCGCCAACCCAGTCTGCGATTCCATGTCCCCTTCCAGCTCCCAGGGCTGGGTCCAGGGTCCAGGGAGGGAGTCAGGCCAAGGTCACACTTACCCAACCCATTTGTCGGGCGCCAAAGAAGATGGGGGGCCATGTCCAGTTCAAGGCCAACTGTCCAGCGTAGAGACCCAGGGGAACCACGGCCTCTTCTGTGAAACCTCCTAGCTCTTTCCAGACCATGTAGGAGCCATACCTGAAACAGAGGCCATTCGATAAGTATTTGCCACTTCTGGCAGCAGCGCCATGAAGGGGAAGTATACGAGCCATGTGGGTGAAAAGAGGCTCTAACCTAGCCAGGGGCACAGCACCGAGGATGGGACATTTGGGCTGGGCCTCAGAAGATGAGTAGGAGTTTGCCAGCCGGGGAGCGGGGCGGTGGGCGGGGTGGAGGAAGGACATGCAAAGGCTTGGAGGCAGGGGTGAGACCCGGGTCCATATGTTACTAAAGAGTGAGGGCTATTGGGTGAAGGCAGCAGGACATGAGGCCAGAAGGCAACAGTGACAGGGGCAACAGCTGACATCCTCCAGGACACACGTGCACCCCTGCTTTGGCACTCTCGGGACATTAGCTCCTCCCATCCTCATGACAGTGCATGCTTGGCGGGGTGGAAACTGGAGTTCAGAGAGGTGACAGCATCAGTGGGCAAGGGCAGGATGTGACCCAATGGCTGGGGTGGAGCCCAGGCTCCCACCAGCAGTGTCACCGCACCCGGACCTGAGAGCTAAAAGGGGCTGGACCAGCCTCCTGCTGTGTCAGAGTCTGGCCAGGGCAGTGGGGAGACCTGGGAATGAAGCCAGGTTGGGGGCAGGGAGCAGGGACCCAGGAAGAGCTGGAGCCTAGTCGGGCAGGGCCTGGCAGGCTGCTGGTGAAGCCCGAGAAAAACCCTGGGTCCAGAGCCATTTCCCTATTGGAACCTCCCCACACCTACCTGGCCTCTGTGACCTGCCCCCCTGGGGTGCCTGGTGCCTGCTAGCCCATCCTGGGTTGGGTGGGCACAGAGCAAGGATGCAAGGAACATTCCAGAAGAGGATGGGTAGCTACCTATACCCCCGGGAGCAGTCTCCCCTGGAGCCCCCAGAGGACACCCCTCCCATCCACCACCCTCATGGTCACAGGAGATTCGTGGGTTCCTGAGGGGTTCCCACTTGCTAGCCTGTGTCCTTGGGAGGACCCGTGCCAAAGGGTGGCTTCTGAAAATGTATCGTGCTAGGGCCGGCACCACAGTTCAACAACAGGAGCTGAACCACGGCGCTGCCATGATTATTTTAATTCTTATTTTATTCTATTTTTTTTTGGTAGTACTGGGGATTGAACTCAAGGCCTTGCACTTGCTAGGCAGGTGCTCTAGTGCTTGAGCCATACACCGCCATTATTTATCTTGGCACATGTCACCAGCTGCCCATGCTGACCTTTACACACAGGGTGGCCTCAGTGGAGTGAGGCATCAGACCATCCTCCAGGGAGGTCAGGAAGGGAAAGTTCAGCTTGGTTGTGCAACACATAGGCCCCCACAGCCTCCCCACTCTTGCTTCCCTCACTGCACCATCTCTGCCCAGGGCCTCTCTCCGTGAAGGGGCTCCATGACCTGCTCAGGCTGCACCCTCGGGGGACAAGGGCATCCCAAGGTGACACCTTCACCCACTTACCCCATGGCCGAGTAGAGTGTGCCCCAGATGGGAGCCAGCGCCCAGCGGGGTGGGTGCCATGCAGGCTTCTGCAGGCTGGAATACCAACGGAGGCCCTCACCGCGCACAAAGTAGGCACCCACGAAACCCCCCAGGCTGGGCACCAGAGTGAGGCCCACGGGAGCCACCCAGGATGGTGCCATGGCTGCTGTGTGTGCTGTTCCAAAAGCTCTGAAAGAGAACACAGGCCAGATAAGTGCACTTCCCGAGATCCTGCAGGTCAGTCCACTGGTTCCTTCTGCATCACCCAAGTCCCATCACCCAGTGCGGTCAGTCAGTTGATTGACACAGAGGGCAGGAGATGGGAGAGGCCAAATCCACACGGACAGCCCCTGGGCTCAAGCTGGAGCTGCAGAAATGCCCACTGCAGCAACCTCCAGGCCCCCACTGCTCTTCCTGCTATCCCACCTCACCCTGTACCTCGGATCTCCTGGCAGTGACCTCCCCTCTCCACCTTTGGTTCAAGGCCAGCCTAGGCCCCCTCAACTTGGAAGCTTCCAGCTCTGCCTCCCTGAAGCCCAAATGCGCTATGTTCTAGCACTTCCATTCATCATTCATTCACTCATTTAGTGACTGGCAGCCAGCCTAGCTTGCCTCACTCAAATTCCTGCTCTCCACCAGCCCACTGTGACCTTGGCAAAGCACTGCAACTCTGAGACTCAGTGTTCCCGGTAGAACGGGATAGCGATGCCTGCCTCCCTTGGGCCAGGCCCAGTGTGCAGCATAAGGAGTGTCTCTGTTTACAGGTGTCATTCACCCTACACATAGCCCACCTGAAAACCATCACCCCTTTCCTGTGCACCAGAGAGGAAGAAAGCAGCCCGCCCAGGGTCACGCCGCTAACTGGGCCTCAGTTTCCCCATTAAAAACCAAGGGTCTAAGCTCCCACTAATACTCTGATTATGGCTGGAGAATCAAGGGATTTCTGCCTACATCAGACTAGCCACACAAACCCATCCTGTCCAGACAACTGCAGTAAGGTCTGCTAGGGTGGTGCTGGGGAGAGGGGACTGGATACGACCTGTCTGTGGAGGCCTTGGTGGGGGGCAGGCCAGGATGAGGTCCAAGGAGCTCCGACGTCAGGAAGAGCACCTGACCCAGGAGGAGAAGCGCAGGAGGAACAGGTCACCCAGGGGAGGAAGAGAAGGCAGCAAAGTGTGGGCCACAGAAAGGGTAGATGGGAGGAGGGGTGGGAGCAGGGATGGCCACTGGCCTAGGACCCCATGGGGTTCAGAGAAATGCAGAAGCAACCTCAGTGCCCCAAACCAGGGACTATTAAAGACTGCTCAACCCCCAAATCAAGCTTTGGGGGACTATTTGGTTATTTATTTTTGCCCTGCTGGGGACCAAGCCAAGGGCCTTGGCGTGCTAGGCAACTGCTCTATCACTGAGCTATGCCCCCAGCCCTGGAGGACTTTTAGTGATGTTAAAATTGCTCTCAACGTAACATTAAGGCAGAACATAAAACCGATTGCAAAATGACTCTGATTTTGGTAAAAGGTCACGCAGCCACGCTGTCTCAGTATATGGAAAGCATGAAGATGGGATCAGTGACCATGACCATGAGGCAACACTTCCTGGGGATGGCTGTCTGTCAGGCCAAACAAAGCTCTCACCAGGTATTACCCTTCGGTCCTCACCCTTCAAGGGAGCCACAGCCCCTTAATCCGTCAGCCAGGGAAGCCCAGAGGCACCACTCAGTGGAGGCAGCTGCCCAAGGCCAGCTCCCCACTAGATGGCTTGCCACTGTGCCAACTCAAGAGACCCAGGCCACCTCAGCTGCTGCTCACCTCTGCAAAGGGGACACAGACCCTGCTCTGCCTGTTTAGTAAATGCCATAGTAAAGTGACAGTATTTGGAGAACCATGATGAGCTGTGCTCAGTGCAACAGGCCTCCCCTGGACCTTGGCACAGTCTGAGCAAACATGGGGCCTTCACATCACACAGAGAGGGAAACTGAGGCCCAGGAGGCAGGACTGTAGGATGAGGCATTGAACTGGCCAGACTCGGTCTCCCTTAGGACAACCACATTTCCCAGGATGTGTTCAGTTTGTGTTCACCTTGCCCACACTAATGGTCTCTCTCCCTCTCTCTCTCTCTTTCTCTGGTGGCACTGGGGTTTGAATTCAGGACCTCACAGTAGCTAGACAGGTGCTCTGCCACTTGAGCAGCACTTCGTGCCTTTGTGTGTGTGTGTGTGTGATGAATTTTTTGAGAAAGGGTCTTGTGAACTGTTTGCCCAGGCTGGCTTTGAACTGTGATCATCCTGATCTCTGCCTCCTGAGTAGCTAGGATTACAGGCGTGAGCCACGGTGCCTGGCCTGATGGGCTCTCTTGCTTTCAGAAGTGTCCTTTCCACAGGTGACTAAGGTTAATGACACTGCTGTAAGATGCGTGGACATCATGGACCCCTTAATATGACCCTCAGAAGGGGACACACTCTGTGGTCTTCCTGCCCAAAAGGCAATTCCCCAGCCTAAGCCCAAGAAAAACTTGGAGAAGCCTCAAGAGGCACATCCTGCACAAAGAGAACGGCTCTGACGCCAGGGAGGGAAGATGTCAATGACTGCGCAAGGTGTGGAGAAATTACAAGGAGGAAGATGTGGGCCTGGGTAGCACGATTGCCAGAGCGTGAGGGGAAGGCAGAAAGGAGACGCTGGGCGAAGGGGGGATGGGAGCTCTGGTTCTGTGAATCTCAAAGCAGTTCCGCAAAATGTTAGCATGAAATACCCCAACTCAGGCCAGAAATTGCAGCCCCACCAGGAATGGTAGTGCACACCTGTGAATGCAGCACTCAGGAGGTGAGGCAAAGAACAGCGAGTCCCACGCCAGCCTGCACTACACAGAAAGATAGAGACAAAGACCCTGTCACCTCATCACTCCGGCTCTGAGACTTCATTGACCCCTGTCAGGGTTTGCTATTGTTTGGTTTGAAATAGGGTCTTGCTATATATAGCTCAGACTGGCCTCGAACTCATGATCCTCCTAACTCACCAAATATCAATCTAACCATCTAAAAGAGCACAATTCAGTGGCATTTATTATATTCCCAGTCATCCATACCGAGTTCCAAAACATTTCATCACTCCAAAAGAAACCCTGCTCAAGTGGTAGAGCACTTGCCTAGCAAGTATAAGGCCCTGAATTCGAATCCCAGTAGCACCAAAAAAGAAGAACCCTGTACCCACCAGCAGTCACTCCCTACCCCTCCCTCAGCCCCTGGCAACCAGCAATCTAATCTGCCTTCAGTCATTCCATATCAGTGGGGTCCTGTGTTGTGGGGCTGTTCCAGCTGGCTTCCTTCCCTGAGTATCCTGTTTTAGAGGTTTATCCACTTTAAACCATGTGGCAATACTTCTCACAGCTCTGTAGGCAAAAGTGTTCCTGTCACTGAGCCATAGAACCCAGGGTGGGGGAAGGCACACTCAGTGCCCAGGAAATCCACCAACAGAGCTGGCTGGTGCCCCTGCTGATGGCCTCGAGGCTCACTACCCAAGTTCCCTGCTGTACAGCCACAGCCATCGAGAAGTGGTGGTCTTCCCAAGGCTACGATAAGAGGACAGGGTCTAGAACTGGAGTCTGGGTAAGCGGAACTGAACTGCAGGCTCCCGCCCCCACTCTCTAGCTGCCCCCACAAAGGCCAGACTGTGTTTAAAGCTTTGCTGGGCTCAGGCCGTCATGGCCCGTCCCTGCCCCTGCCCTGCCAGAAGTCAGATGTCCCAGTGGAGAGAGCTGGAGAACAGAGCCAGGGCAGGGAGCTTCCCCGGACCTCCGGAGCCTGCCAGCTCCTGAATCACCAGACCAGGGGGCAGGAAGGCAGAGGGTGGTGCCCACCAAACTGAGTCACTATGGGCGAGGCTGGGCTGACCGGAGACCAGCTCTGGTAGGGGCCCCAGGAGGGCCCAGGAGTACCCCCAGCAGAGACGGAGCTGGGGCAAGGCTCAAGGGAGCAAGACCTCCCCCAAACAGTTCAGAAAGGAGAAGGCTAGAGGTATCAATGCTGGAGGCCACGCGCCCCATTTCCTCTAGGGAAAAGGAGGCCCCAGACCCCAGGTGGGCACTGCATTGGCACGTAGCCCTGAGCTCTCAGTGTTAAAGGTGGTCATCACTGAGCGTCCTGCCCCCAAACTGGGGGATATTGCTCATGGGGAGCACATGGAAGAGAGCAGAGGGTAATACAGGGCAGGGAGCCGAATGCCAGTGACTCACATCTGTAATCCTAGCTACTTGGGGTCTTAGATTAGGAGACTTGTGGTTCAAGGCCAACCCAGGCAAATAGTTCCTGAGACCCGCCCCCATGTCCAAAATAACCAAAGCAAAATGGACTGGAGGTGTGGCTCAAGCACTAGGGAGCCTGCCTCGCAAGTGTGAAGCCCTGAGTTCAAACCCCACCAAAAAAAAAAATCACAGAGCAGGAGATGTTCTAGGCCTTGCTCAGGCTTCTGGGGAAGGAGCAGAGGCAGTACTGGGTGAGACAGCTCTGGTCTCATTCCAGTCATCGGAGCTTCATTTATTCCTCTCCGTGGCCTCTCAGGTGAGGGACTGGCTGCCTCTCTTCTCCGGTGCCTCTCTGTGAGCCCGGCCACCTGCTCAGCCTTCGTGAGGGGCTCATCACCAGTCCGACTTCCCACGTGGAGAAACTGAGGGTCTAGAGCCATCACAGATGGTTGTAGGCCTCTGTGGCTCCAACGCACACTCTGGGCCACCTGGCCATTCTCAAGCAGCAGTGTCACCTCCCCTCGGGCTGCAGGGCTGCAGGCAGGCCCAGGCTGGGGGCCACCACGGCCCACCTCCTCCCAGCACCAGGAGGTTCTGAGAGCCACCAGTACCACCCTCTCCGCCCACAGTGCCAACGCCCAGCTCCCGCTGAGCCTCAGCCCGAGCTGAGCCCTTCCCACGCTGAGGAGGGATCCCCAGTCCCTCTGATGCTTCACTTGTGGCCAGGAGATCCCAGGCCTGTTGCCGTCCTTAGGGCCTCACCCCCTGGGCCTCTGTGTCCCCATCTGTGAAGTGGGGGCTGAGCAGTGCATCCAAGATGCACCTGTTCTGAGACCTCCCTGGAGATGGCGACCCACAAATAGAAGGGACTAGTGCCCTGTCTGTCCCTTCCCTCCTGCTGCACCTCCCAACTCCCCCTGGGCCCTGTCTCCCCCCACCAACTTCTAGAGCTTTCTCATTAATAACATTTGCGAGCTTATTTCATTATGAAAGTAACGGGTGAGGCAACAACAGGTCTGGAAGGACCAACAGCCAACTGGTGACTGCCATGCTGGGGTGTGGGTAAGTTGCTAACAGAGTGACCACTATTTAAAACAAGGAATGCTTTCAGACACTCCCTGCACAAAACACAAACAGAACATTCCAGAGTCAAAGAATGGAAAAGCTGAAGTGCACAAACGGAAGCTCCTGAGGCCCAGGCCTCACCACACCCTAGGGACCCCCATCCATGGTTCTGGAAGATCCAGCTGGACGCTGTCCAGTGATGGCCAGGCACGAATGTGGCCAGGCACAGGAAACCGCGCACCGCGGCGGGAGGAGAAGGACGCAGGCTTGACTTGGGAACCAGACCACAGGTAGCGCAAGCCCTGGCCCAGCCACTCTGCCCGTGTGACCCTAAACACGGGGATCCTTTGCAGAGCCTCAGTTTCCCCCTCGTTCCCAGCGATCCCTTGAGCAGGGGCGGGATTCCCCAGCACCCAGGAGGAGCTAAGAAGCTTGCCCCCCTCGTCGCCCCAGATTTTCAGCGACTTGGGCGGAGTAGAAACCCCCCTCCTGCAGCCCTGCCCCTGGGGACCCCGAACCCCCGAACCCCACGCCGGGATCTCGGCCTGCCCCTCGACGGTGCCCAAGGTCCCGTTAAGCCCAATCTCGCCACGCAGGAGTCTCCCTCGCAGACGCGGTGGCCGAGCCCTAAGTGCTGCCAAGTGCCATACCACGGCTCTGGCCTCAGTTTCCCCTCCGGCCCCCGCGCGGGCGGGCGCCCTGCCCTTGGCCCCTTCGCGGCCCACTCACCTCGGCACGGGCTCGGGCTCGGGCTGCTCCCGGAAGGGCACTGGCGGGGAGGTGGCGGCCACTCGCCCCGCCTGCCTGCCCGGCCCGGCCCTGCCCCGCCCTGCGCGCCGCGCCCAGGGACCCGCTCCCTCCCCTCCACCGTCCGCCGCGCCGCTGCCTCTCCGCGCCTGTCCCCGGTCCTTGCCCCCACGGTGGCCGGGGACCGCTGCCCGCCCTCCAGACTCTGCGAAGACGGATCCTCCCGCCCCACGTCGCAGGCAGGGCGCCGCGTTCTGGGCACCTCACCATTCCCATCTGTAAAATAGGACACCTTGCTCACCTTAGACCTGGCCCCCATCGGAGGGGCCCCGCAGTGCCTGGGGCTGCTGTCCCGGGGCGATCTTAGCCTGGCCCGGCCACTCTGACTGCTTCTCCGGGCTTCCATCTCCTCATCTGTAGAATGGGCACCCCGAGGTGACCCTGATGAGGCTATCACACCATCGCAACCGTGTGCTGCCGAGTGAATGAGACTGCTGTCATCACAGGCATAGGTGGCCGCTAGGCTGCCAGGGTCACCCTCTCCTGTCTGTATCCAGCCTCTGGCCTTTGGCCAGCATCTCCCATGCCGGCTGTTGCCGGCCAACTGATGCCAGCTGACTCTGCTGGCAGTGCCCTCAGCCTGTACCACCAGCAGTGGCCCACACAGTCCCCCAGGGGCCTGAACCCTCCTTCCGGAATAGCCAGGGCTGCAGTATGACTTTCCTAGGACTTGGCATTTTCGCCTTCATGGGCCCTTTCCCATTTCCCATTAAATATATATATTCTGGTTGTTACTGTATCCGCATAAAGACAAGTATACACGAGCAAGATTCCACTCGTCATTTGCTTCTGATGAAAAAAAGTAAAACTTTTGTGCCCCTGGGCACAGTGCCTGGCCACGCCTCCCATGGCACTGCCAGCTCATGCCTTCTGTGAGGAGCAGTCAGGACTTGACAGAATGGCAAGACTTCCTCCCCTGGAAGATCCAGGGGGAAGAGGCAGAATGGCTTTCCTGCAGCCTCTGTCCTGCTGTACACCCAGGCGCTGACCTCATGGAATTCACGCCCACTTCACAGATGTGAACACTCCAAGTCAGAGGGACCAGCTGCTGCCTGATGGACCCAGACTGCAGGTCTGGATGCACTTGAGGATGCCCGGCCTGCTGTGACTTCTACCTCCCTCTCCTCCATCCCTGCATTCCCATCTGAGCCTGGATGCAGCAGCAGCCCCTCGCTGCTCCCAGCTCCCCTCTTTTCCCAGCTGCTGCAAATAATGTGACTATGCCCCCTGCCTTAGAATTCAGTCCAACCCAGTTAAAATATGGCCCCTGAGGCCTGCCCACTTGGAGCCTATCCTTCCCCACACTTGCACATACCATTTCCCTGCCTAGGCACTGCACTTCCCTCTAAGTACCACCTGGGGCGCTTGTGTTCAAGTCTGACTGGTTCTCCAGCATCCCTTAGGAAGCTCTTCCGGAACCCCAATTCTGTGTTGTTGTCCCCTGCATTCTAAAGGAACAGTGACCTCTCCTCTGAACTGCACAGCACTGGGCCAGGGAGCCTCTCCTAGGCATCTGGCCTGTGACAGTCTCATAGAGACACGTGCATTGAGCTGGGCACCCCACCCTAGAGGATGAGTCCCTGCCTTGGTCCATGGGCAAGGAGACACTGACCATGGTCCATGATCAATCCCTAGAGAATCTACCTTGGCTTACATGCTCAGAGGGGAAAAGTGGCTCCAGTGGTAGAGCACAGGCCTAGCAAGTGTGAGGCCCTGAGTTCAAACCCCATTTCTGCCAAAAAAGGAGGGAGGGAGGAAGGAAGGAAAGAAAATGGTCAGGGGCCCGGGCTGTCCTGTCTTCTTGCTTCTGAGCACCCTGTGCCCTGTGTTCAGATCTCAGGAGTAGAGTGATATCGAGTCAGGTGGCCAAGTGTCCTCAGCTGACCCAGGGGAACAAGGGTCCATCAGCCTGTGATGAGGACTGGCTGCGCAGACAGGCATCTGGCCAGGCTCAAGAACACCCTGTCCCTAAACAGCAGCACAGCCGAAGCAGGGCTCCTGGTGGTGGCAGCACTCAGCAAACCCCTTGAGTCATGCTGCCGTCAGTCACCTTGGTACACACACCTGGCACCCATCACCCTGGGGTCTGTGCACCAGCGCCCCGGGATGCCTTTGCCCCTCCCCTGATGGATCCTCATGTCCTAGATACATCTGCTACGGTTTGAAGGCCCCTCCAAAAGTCTTGTGGGAATTTAATCCCCACTGTGAGGTGTCAAGAGGTGAGACCTTGAAGAGGTGGTTAGGTCATGAGGGCTTACAGTTGTGGACTAATCCATTTCTGAATTCATGCATTAGTGGATTAGCGGGTCATCTTGAGGCTGGGTCTGTTAAAAAAGCCAGTTCAGTTCTGTTTCATGGATGTCACATCTTGCCTTGTGGTGCCCTGTGGTGTACCCTGGGACTCTGCAGAATCCCCAGCAGCAAGAAGGTCCTCACCAGACACATAATCTTGCACTTCCCAGCCTCTAGAACCATAAGCTGAATAAACCTGTTCTGTGTAAATGGCCCAGTCTGTGGAGTTGAGTCACAGTCACAGGAAGTGACTGCACCATCTTTTTCTCTTGCTGCTTCCCTTTCATCCTGGAGTCTGGCCAAAGAGCTGAGGAAGGCAACCTTGTGCCATCTCGCATTCTCCTGGGCTGGGCTGAAGCTTGGCTAAGAAGTCAAGACTGGAAGTTCCTCCAGAACTGTGCAGGTCCCATGGTCCAGAGGCTACAGCACACCTGCTCTAGGATGCTGGTGTGCACCTGCGCAGGACACAGATCCCACTACTGAGGACATGGAGCTGTCCTGTTGCTATGGCTTCTGCCACAGTCTATTCGGTTCTTCCTGGAAGAGTTTGAGATTTGGCTGGTGGTGAGGCTCGAGTGCCCTGAGTTCAAACCCCAACACCATGAAATGATTTAGTCCCAGAGTTTTGAACTTTCACAGGATAATTTCTGTGTGGGTCAAACTTCAGCCACTGTGCCCGCGCGAGCATTCTGCAAATGTCTATCTTTCTTTTTCAGGATTGCCCTGTCTCTGTGCTGACTTCCTTCCCTCTGTGTTCACACTTCTCTTTCTGGAACTCCTGTTACTGAGTCCTGGGTTTCCTGGGCTGGTCTTCAGACTTCCTGTTCTTGTTGCCCACTTTTCATGTTTTGTTTTTTTCTTCTCATTTCTCTGCTGCCCTTCAATTGAGTTTTTCAATTCTTTTCTCCTATTTTTAATACCCAAGAGAATATTTTTTTGTTTTCTGAATGTTCTTTTTTTAAATATAATTTCCTGTTCCTGTTTCACAGGTACTGTGTCTTCTCTGACCTCTTTTTTTTTTTTTTTTTTTACCTTTTTTTGGTGGGACTGGGGTCTGAACTCAGAACTTTGTATTTGCAATGCAGGCACTCTACTGCTTGAGCCATGCCTCCAATCCAGTTTGCTCTGGTAATTTTGAAGATGGGGTCTGGAGAACTATTTGCCCCAGCTGGCCTCAAACTGCAATCCTTCTGATTTTAGCCTCCCAAGTAGCTAGGATTACAGGTGTGAGCCACAGCTCCTGGCTTCTCTTACCTCTTAAAGACATCAATGGTAATTTCCAAAAACAATTATTTTCTTTTATTTTTATGGTATCCAAATTCTATATGTTGGCTTTCTTTTTCTTCTTTTCTTTTTCTTTTCTGTTTATAAGAGGCTTTCTTCAGATGCTTGGAAATCTTTCTCATGGAGAAAGGGAAACAGAGAAGACAAGGAAGGGGAATAGAAAAACAAGTAAAATGCTAAAATTAACCTTCACAGAGTGACCCCACACAGGACCATAAACAGTGCTATGGAAACAGGCACTGGGAAGTACAGACACAAGGATCCTGGTTTGAGGCCAGCCTGGACATAGTTAGCCTGAGATTCTATCTGAAAAACAAACCAAAAGGAAAAAAGATTGGTGGAGTGGCTGAAGCAGTAGAGTGCTTGCCTAAAAAGCACAAGGCCCTGAGTTCAAATCCCAGTACTTTGTAAAGAAAATATATATTAAGGTGTCACTACCAACATCAAACATGCTTCTGTAGGGTAGTAGTAAATACTGATCTTGTTCGACCCTCTCACTGTTTAAATACATCAAGCATAAGAACAGGAATCATGAGATAATATTTTAACAACAGGAACCTCAAATAAGACTCTAGAAGTAAAAGTCAAAGTAAATAATTGAGAAGTTAAGGGTCAGTAGCTCAGAATCTCAAAGATGTGGCCAAAAACGTACAAATGTCTTACTGAAGATAAAGCCATGCACCTCTCTCTGCCATGGCTGTGCTCATGTGCCTGTGTCTGGCCTAAAGTGCACATCTGAATCACCCTGAAGTTCTCATCTGCTCGTTTCCTTCCTTTCCTTTTCCACAGTAATACTCATGATTAAAAGGAATAAACAAAATAAGACCAGGGATGATATTTTGTTAGTTTAACTTCACTATAAGATGAGCTTGGTAGGACATTTGTCTGGAAACTTCCTGGAATGTCAATGGCTTTAGGATTTTCCTTTTGGACCAGTCAGATTCCCCAGAGCCCTCTAGTCCCTTGTCTGAAAGGTAAGGGTCTAGATGAAGGTTTGGGAGCTCACTGGTAGTGTGTGTGGGGGGGGGGAGTAGTGTGACAGAGGAGGTCTCTGCGATCAGCACTCAGTGTCCATGTGTGGTGGAGGAGTGCCCGTATTCGGGTACCTTTCATTTGACCCCTCCCAGGCTGAAGCCCAGATGTTTGCTAGAGTCGGGGGGGCATCACCCAGTGGCTAGGAAGAAAGAGGGGATCTAAGGACTGTTAAGTTTTTCAAGGACACTTTTTCAAATAGTCCTCTTTGAGCCTTGTTTCACCCCTACATCTAGAAGTGGCTAGTCCTGCCAGTACTAAGCTTTTCAGAGTCTGTTGTGTGAATAAAGGTTGGTTTTTAGCTTTCCCCATTCTGAGGGGGAGTTAGCTGTCTGAAACCAGCAGAGACAGTAACACTGGCCTACATGACTTCCAGTTTCCAGAGGTGCTGTTGCTGGGGTCCCTATCAGGTTCTCCCTGTCCTTGTGGAATTTGTCTTTAAAAGTTCCCTTGGCTGTGGATTTACAGGCATCCAGAGGCAGTGCGTATTCTATGTCTTAATCTAAGACTTCTCTGTATTTTTCGTGACCATGGCATGGTATGTATCATATTTCATTGAACCAGTCCCCTCAAGCTGGATGTGAAGGTTACCTTCACTTTTTCCTTGCAAAGCCATGGACATTGAGATGTTTATTTGATTCTTCAGGCAAACTCAGTGAAGTCGATTTGCTGGTGTGGTTTGCTGTGGACTGAATGATGTGTTTTCTCAGAATCCTCGGTGTGATGGTATTCAGATGTGAGGTCATTGGTGGGTGATTAGGTCACGAGTCTAGTAGAGCCCTCATGAATGGGACTGATACACTTATAAAAAGAACAGTAGAGCCAGGCACCAGTGGCTCATGCCTGTAATGCTAGCTACTTGGGAGGCTGAGATCAGGAGGATTGTGGTTTGAGGCCAGCCCAGACAAATAGTTCGTGAGACCCCCCCCATCTCCAAAATAACCAGAGCAAAATGAACTGGTGTGACTCAAGAGGTAGAGCACCCACTTTGCAAGTACAAAGCCTTAGCTCAAACTCCAGTCCCACCAAAAAAAAAAAAAAAGAGAGAGAGAGAGAGGAGGCTCTCCCCAACACCCCTGCCCACTACTATGTGGGGATATGAAAAGGCAGTCATGTGCAAAATAGGAAGTAACTCTCATCAGACCCTGGATCTGTAAGCGCCTTGATCTTGGACTTTCCAGCCTCTACAGCTGTGCGCAATAAATGTTGGTAATTTAGCCTTCCTACTCCACGGTATTCTGTCATAGCAGCTGGAATGAACTAAGATATGACAGCCTAGACCTCCTAGATAAAGTGTGTGGGGGGGGGCTGGCAGGAAATGAAGAGCAGAGCAGAGAGGAAGGGGGTTCAGGGATGAGATTAGACTAGACCCTATCTGACCTAGCCTCTTAACAGTTCTCAGAAGCTGGATAATCCCAACTAATCCCAGATATTCACTTTTTGAGATTTTATCTACTCATCTGTAAATTGAGGATAATCATTGCACCTGCTCACCATGGCTTGCTGTGATGAATTAATAAGCATATGTCTTAAAAATAACCAGAGTTTTGTTCACTAGCACAAAGATTTATTGAGTGCTTTTTTTTATTTTTCAAACTGGGGTTTGAACTCAGGGCCTCATGCTTGCTAGGCAGGTGCTCTACCACTTGAGCCACTGCACCAGCCCTGTTTTTTGTTTTGTTTTGAATGTGTGGGGCTAAGTGGAGGTACTGGGTATTTTCTAAATAGGGTCTGGAGAACTATTTTCCTGGGCTGGCTTTGAACCATGATCCTCCTGATCTCTGCCTCCTGAGTAGCTAGTGAGCAGGCTAGAAGTAGGAAAAGTTTGGGGCTCATGGAGTTCCCCCTACCCCCGATGGCCCAGACCACCGTACCCGGCTGGGAACAGCCCATGCCCTTCCCACTTGTTGATTATTGGGTGGGAATCTCTGGGTTTGCCCTCCCCGTGGGTTAAAAAAGCACCTGAAAAAGAAAAGCACACTCTCTCTGCCGGTAGACTTCACCTGCATCCCAGCATGCTCCCTTTGTATTTCCTTTCCTAACTTTTCACAAACCCCATTTACACCCACGCATTCTGGGAACGCAAGGGCCAAGATCTTCTGAAAACACCGTTTGCCTTTAACACTAGGAGTTGAGGCTGAGCTCACTGGGGACTTCTGATGTGTCAAGGGTATATAAACATACGTAGGAAACATTAAAGTGCTGCTAATAGCCGGGCGCCGGTGGCTCACACCTGTAATCCTAGCTACCCAGGAGGCAGAGATCAGGAGGCTCACGGTTCGAAGCCAGCCCGGGCAAATAGTTCATGAGACCCTAGCTCGAAAAAACAAAATCACAAAAAAAGGGCTGGAGGAGTGGTTCTAGATGTAGGCCCTGGTTCAAACCCCAGTACAAAAAAACAGTGCTAACTTGTTTATCGTGGTGTCTCCGCTCAATCCAGGCCCGGGAGGTTTAAGGAAGCACCCTGGTCACTCCACGACCTCAAGACGCAACCGCAAATGGTCTCCGAGCTAGGGCGGAACCAGGGACTGGGGAACCTTTCCCTAACCTCGGGAACGGTCCGGCAGGAAATACGCGACGGACCACGCTAGGTCGCGCAGCCGCAGTCGGACCTCGGTCGCCACGGTAACGTGCGTGGGGCAGGTGTCTCACGATGAGCGCCCGGGTCGTGCGGGCCGCGTGGGCCGGTGGTTGGAGCGTGGGTTGCCGCCGTGGCGCCTCGAGCTTCCCGGTGCCTCCGCCGGGCGCCGCCGACGTGGTGGAGCTGCTGCGAGACGCGACAGCATCGGCGGAGGAACCCTGGGCAGAGACGGCACGGCGGACGCCAGGCCAGTGCTCCGTACTGCTGTTCCCCGGCCAGGGCAGCCAGGCGGTGGGCATGGGCCGCGGCCTGCTCGGCTACCCGCGCGTCCGCGAGCTCTACGAAGCCGCCCGCCATGTGCTGGGCTATGACCTGCTGGAGCTGAGCCTGCACGGGCCACAGGAGGACCTGGACCGCACCGTGCACTGCCAGCCCGCTGTCTTCGTGGCTTCGCTGGCCGCCGTTGAGAAACTTCATCACCTGAATCCCGCGGTGAGGCTCGCACCTGCCAGGCCCGAGTGTGCCCACGTGGTTTTTGCAGGTGCCAGGCACTGCTCCGGGCACCGAGAACAAAACAATGAAGCCAGCCCCAGGGGAGCTTGCATCTTAGGCCAGACAGATAATGAGCAGTGGATGAACTAAGTATAGTTACATAGTATATTGAAGATTGTAAGTGTTGCAGAAATACAGAACAGAGTATGGGGTTGTGATCTTAAGTGAGCTTTCATTGCTGAATTATTAAAGGATTGAACTCCATCCTTGGGCTGGTACAGTGGCTAGAGTGGTGGAACCTCTGCCTAAAGCTCAGGCCTTGAGTTCAACCCTCAGGACCCACCAAAAACAAACCACAAAAAAAGAAAACCCTCCATCTGTAAATGAAGGATCGAGAAGATGGCATATGAAAACATCACTTCATTCGAAGGGTGGTGAATCAGTTGATGTTAATACTGAAAAATACCAAGTCAGTAAATGTGAGCCTGGAGTTTGAGGTCACTTAAACGCCATTTCACCTTCCCAGCACCTGCTATGTGTGCAGAAGGGAGAGTCAGGGACATTAAAGGATTTAGTCAAGTGGTCCTGTTGAATTGTGATAATGATACCAGGTCTGTGCCAAACACTGTAGATTTTATTGTCACATGGGTTCTCTCTCATTTTCACCAAAGAGGTAACTGAGGCTCAGAGATTAGGGAACTCACCCAGGCTAAGAAATCCTGTATTTGATTACAAAAAAGTCATTCTTTTAACTTATGTATTTTGGCGGTACTAAGGTTTAAACTCTGGAACTCTGGGCCTTGTGCTTGCTAGGCAGGTGCTCTACCACTTGAACCACACTCCTAGCCCTCCCCCCCTTTTTTTTTTTTTTTTTAGTTTTTTTGGACAGGTATTGCTGTAAGGCTGGCCTCCAATTTGAGATTCCTCTACCTCTGACTCCTGACTCCTGGGATTAAAGTACCACTAAGGCCCAACTTTTTGCATTTAACTTGTGCCATGAAGCCTGAGAGACTGTTTTCAGGCCTCTTGGGTAGGAGTCAAGGAAGCAGAGTTGATTGGGCTTTAACCTGCCTGACCAGGGAAGTTCCTTATCAGTCAAAGGCTGCACTCAGTGGTGGTCAAGGCCACTTCTGTGTGACTCTTCTAGCTGGAACCTCAGGCCAGTGGACCTGACAGTGATGCTGAACACCCTCCAGCTCTCAGGCATAGAGCCCTGGAACTGAGCCCCCCAAGATCATTTGGCCTCATGCTGTGCATGTGTCACCACAGGCTATCGAGAACTGTGTTGCTGCTGCTGGATTCAGTGTGGGAGAATTTGCAGCCCTGGTGTTTGCCGGAGCCATGGAATTTTCTGAAGGTACACAAGAAAGGGTTTGGTTTTGTGTGGAGGGTGTGGTCTTGCTGGGCTCACTGGGTACAAGGGACACTGCCAACAATGATACTGAACCCACTTGGGTGAGAAGTGGATGGGGATGACATTGGATATCAAGGACTAGATGTTACCATGATTCCCTTTGAAGCCTGAAGGATACAATAGAGATTTTCTTTCTGCTTTATAATCTCATGAAATCTGCTCGCTTCACAGTCTCCCCACTGCCCTGAGCATTCTACCACTCACAGATCCCCATGCCTGTCACACTTGGTAGATGCTCAGTAGATATACATTAAATGAGTCAATGAATATTTTATTCTTGCCTACCAAGTGCAAGGTCCTCAATTACCTACCCCCACCACCAAAAAAGTTTTTGGTCTTGAGCCCGTTTTATTTCTTGAGATTTTTGCTTAAGCTGGGCATGATGGTGGGCATCTGTATTTCCAACTACTCAGGAGGCTGCGGCAAGAGGATCGCCTTAGAGGTTCCAGGCCAGCCTGGGCAACTTAGCAACAGCTTGTCTCAAACGAGCAAAACAAAGATTTTGGTTTGTAGTTCAGTGCAGGGAAAGGGACTTATCTCCAGATAAGGTATTCCAGTGACTGACAAGCATCTGAGGAAAAGATGTCCAGCAGCACAACCATCAGGGAAATGCAAATCAGTGCCTCAGTGACAGAGCCTCACATCCACCAAGACGGTGCTAATGAAAGAAAGAAAGGGGGAGGGGAAGGAAAGAAGGAATGACTTGATGATGATGTGGCAAATACTATGCAATTACACACTTTAAAATGACTGTTTCATGTGAATTTCACCTTTTTAAAAAAATTATTAGGAAATTGCATATTTCTATATCCTAATGAAACCATTACCTGTATGTTTTTGTAGATTTGCAGAATTACAGCATATTTTGTGTTAACTTTTCTCCCTGTGGCATTTGTCATAGTTATTGTTTCAACCCTACATGGAAGGATTCCATGTGCTCCTTCCATTTTCCTGTGTTTTCTCCCACTTCTCAGCCCAGTCTTTTGATGTACATGTGCCACAGGTACCCTGGGGACCAGGGCTAACAGTCTGCATGTACTGACTGGGTGATGTGTGTCACAGAGAAAGGGTACAGAATTTTCTCCATGGGCCCTGTCACCCATCAAACCCTGGGCAGGTTCCTTGATCTTTGTTTAGTCTCATCACCTCTCCTCACCCAGGGAGAGACCCATGACATGAGGGGTATTTACTAAGCCATTCCTGTGTCATAGTCATTGGAGCTACCTACCTGGGCACAGTTCTGTCCTCTCCCTTGCACTTAAGTCCATGTTTCAGCTCGCAGGCTTTGGTAGTGCCAAATCTTCCAGGTCTAGATGGGGCAGCAATACCTGGTCTAAGATAATTATGTTTTATTGAAATTCATCTGCTTGTTCATAGTTATACAGTAGTCCATCTGTCTGGTGGTCTTAGTTGTTTTTCCTTTTCAATGTGGCTTCTCTTAATAACTTTCAGTTGCCAGAACCTAGGCAGACAGGATATGATTTGTCTTCATTTTACTAACTGAAAATTTGAAACAGAAGGAAGTTGTAATTTTCCTGAGGCTGTGTAGCTCCAAGTCCTCTCCCCTCTTCACAGGGCTTATCAGCAGAGGCACTGTGGACATTTGGGATCAGACAATTGTGTTTTGGGCTTTTGTCCTGTGCATTGTAGTTTGTTCTTTACAGCAGCATGCCTGGCCTCTGCCCATCACGTCAGTAGTCTCTCTCCCACAGTGTGACAGCAGAAAGCAGTCAGACCCTGCCCTGGGTTCTCAACCCCAGGTGAGAACCATTTTTCAAAGGGCTTTCAGGCAGGATGTTCCCGGGACTAATGCATACAGTGCCAAGGTCAGCACCCTGCTTTTCAGTAGGAGGGACTTCTCTGCTGTGTAGTAGATGCAGAAGGTACATAGACGTGTGGCTCTGTGGGCTGGTGATAAACACCATCGTCAGTGTCTCCAGCACAGGGTGGAATTCTCAGGTCTGGCCCACCCTTCTCACATGTTCTGACTTCTAAATGCACTTCTCTTCGGATAGGTTTGTATGCAGTGAAGGTCCGAGCCGAAGCCATGCAGGAAGCTTCAGAAGCTATCCCCAGTGGGATGTTGTCCGTCCTCGGCCAGCCTCAGTCCAAGTTCTCCTTTGCCTGTATGGAAGCCCGGGAACACTGCAAGTCTTTGGGCATAGAGAACCCTGTGTGTGAAGTGTCCAACTACCTCTTTCCTGATTGCAGGGTGATTTCAGGACACCTAGAGGTTGGTGCTGATGGGAAATACCTTAGTAGACCCCAGTCCAGCATGAACAGTGGGAACCACTGTGCACCTACCTATAAGGTCCCAGTGGTGTAGTGAGTGCCTTGCCAAGCATGGTCTGTAGAAGAGTGACTGAGGGCCAGGGATATGTGGCAGAGCAAGTGCTGCAGAAGGAGGCAGGAAGCTGGACACTGCCTGCTCCTCTACAGATCACCAGGTTTCTGGACGAATGAATCACCTGGCCCACAGGTCAGGTCACGGGGCTGGAGCAAGCAGCCCCAGGCCTTCCTGTGGTACAGTGAGGTCTTCTCATGAACCTCTGATCCTCTTGCTTCCTTTGAAGAAGGATCTGGTTGCCATTGTTGTGCTGCTGCCCTGCTGTTTGTTAGGTGTCTGTTTTTGTACCCGAATGATCTTCCTTTTCTCTGTCCTCCCTTCCATTGGCTGCTTCCCCAAACATCGTTTATAGAGCTCTCCTGTGTAACAAGCACTGGGGACCTATGGACCAATTAATCAGAGTTCCTCCTGCCAAAGGAAAACCAGCCCAAGGAGGTGACTTCAGCCCAGGAACAAAGGAAGGGTCAGATTGACCATCAGGGAAGTGGCACTATAGATAGGGCACTGTGGACCCAGTGCCTGGCTTGGGGGTGCTGAATGAGTGCTGTGGAACCTATGCGAGGGTTTACATCTCAAATACCAGTTTGTGCTATATGGCCTTATTCTTCCTCCCATTTCACACACAAGCTGAGGCAGAGGGAATGACAAGCACTTGGAAATGGTAGAGGCAGGTATTTTTGGTTTGGGGAGTGTTTTTGAGACAGTGTTTTGCTGTGTTGCCCAGGCTGATCTCAAACTCACAATCCCCCTGCCTCAGCCCTTCAAATAGCTGAGACTACAGGTGCACATTGCAGCAGACTGGAGGTTGAATTTGAACCCAGGTGTGTCTCACTCTGGAATTGGCTGCCTCCACTCAGTTGTGCTCAGTTCCTCTTCCCCTCTATGTGTTCACCCTGCACTGAGTGTCCTTGGATCCCTCCTCTGAATCACTGGTAGCCACAGGCCACTCTTGTGATGGTTCTTATGTGAGGAAAGTCAGCTAAACATGGAGCTGTTGCTCATTTCCATGATCAGCCTTGGGTAGCAGCCCAGAAGTTCAAGAGGGACCCCAGGAAGGCAGAAGCTCCCATACAGGTTCCCATCCAGCCTGGGTGATAGTCCTGGGAGTCTAGGTATATTCTTTTGGTGCCCTTGGACGTGCCACCAAAAGAGCTCAGGTGAGGGCAGGGGTACCCTAGCAGAGAGCTCCTTTCCAGCATTTAATGTGGAAAATTTTCCTTGCCCTGTACGAGGCCAGTAGTGCCTGGGCCAGTACAAAGACCACAAGATGATGGCCTTGACTTCTGTGGCCTGACCTGGGAATTGAATCAGATCAGCCATTAAGTCCAGAAACCTTACCTGGAAAGCACTTGCGAGACCACAAATGGCACAGGAAGTGACCTTGAGTAGTCATCCACATAGATGCTGATGGTGGAGACAATCAGGCATGATGGGAAGGACTTGGGCTACGATGTCCAAGAGGCCTCTAATCAAAGAGGCTCTGTGCTCCTGAGGCCTGTCCTCAGTGAGTTGGAGGTGGACTGTGGAAGATGATGGATGTGAAACACCAAGACCAGTCAGGCCAGACCAGGCTGTACTGCAGTAATGAACAGCCCAAATCTCTCAGTAGCCACAGTACACCGTGGTGCACCCTCTCTTAGCACATGCCTTCCCTGCTGCCCTCTGCTGCACTTCATTTTCACCCGAGGGCTCAGACTACTGGAACGGTCTCACAGAATTTGATAGACTAAAGACAGGGAAAGAGAGGCTTGGCTTCATTGGTCAAAGCAAGTTTCATGACCATGCATGGGTAAGCAGTTCATGGGGAGTGAGACACAGAGATGGAGGAACAGCCCAAATAGTAATCCTTCTACCTTTAGGGGGACAGAGAGCTGTCCTGCTATTGCAGTGACCACAAATCAGCGTGGTGTAGAAGATAATTGCTAACCCTTGTATAGCACTTGCGTGCTAAGCAGAGTTCTCATAGCAGCCCTGTGAAGTAACTCTTGTCCCCATTCTATAGACACAGAATAGAGGCCCAGAGGTAAAGCAAAAGTGCTGGAGGTTGTGTAGCTGATGAGAGCAATTTTAAGTCTTACCTAAGTGTGGCAGGGAGCAGCTCTTAGTGCCTGGACCCTGCCTCTGGCCAGGCTGTGATGTTGGCAGACTCAGCTCTCAGAGCATATGTTTTTTCTGCATGAAAAACCCTGCAACAGCCCCCATGTGTCAGGTCTGGGCTATGTCCCATGGTCATAGGGGCTTTTAAGAACATTTCCTGATTGACCATGGAGATGATGACTCAAGTAGTACAGCTACTGCCTAGCAAGTGAGGCCCTGAGTTCAAACCTCAGTACCACCAAAAACCAAAACCAAATACTCCCTCATTGAAAGATCTTGCAAATTAAATTGTTTGCAGGCAGTTGCAGCTGTGGCCTGTTGCCTGTTGCCTGGTTTTCGTGCCTTCTCAGCTGAGGTACCCTTCAGGACTAAGCTCAAGGGGAAGAGAACTCCTTTACTTCTCTAGAGAAATCCAGGGTAGGGCTCCAACAGCTAGGACCTTGGGAAGTGGGACTTGAGTTTTCCTTCTGAATTATAGAGTGACAAGAAGCAGGTCTGGCCCAGCATTTGGGAGGCTGAGTCAGGAAGATCATGAGTTCAAGGCCAGCTTGGGCTGCACAGCAAAATCCTGTCTTTTTTTAAAGAAAAGAAAGAAAAAGAAGCAGGCTTGGTAACAATTACTGGAAATTCCTAGAGTAACAGGATTCTAATTTAAAAAAAAAGAAAAGCTAGCACACACTTGTTAGGTATCTCCTCTATCAGATGCTCTCACACACCATCTGATGTCACCTTCCCAGCAGATGTTACCTCTACAGCCTTGTAGAGTGGATGAAATTGTGCCTATTTCAGGGATTAGGAGGAAGAGGTTCAGAGATGGGAAGTGACTGACCTGGGCCATGACACAGATCCACGTGTCCACGTTAGCAGCTTTCTCAAGCATACTACATGTGAATGGTCAACCCCCTACAATACTGTTGGGACACTTGCTATGAAACCAAGTTCACTGAAAAGTGAATTAAGGTGCTGGGGTCATGGTTCAAGTGGTAGAGCTCCTGCAGAGCAAGTACAAGGCCCTAAGTTCAAACCCCAGTACTATCAAAAAAGAAGGAAAAAAAAAAAAAAAGTACTCACTGGGCAAAATGGCTCACGCCTGTAATCCTAGCGACTCAGAAGGCAGCGATCAGGAGGATCGCAGTTCAAAGCCAGCCAGGGCAAATAGTTTCCCAGACACTATTTTGAAAATACCCATCACAAAAAAGGGCTGGTAGGGTGGCTTAAGGTGTGGGTCCTGAGTACAAGCACCAGTGCCGCCAAAAGAAAGCAGTAATAATACAAAAAATAAATTAAAAAAAAGGAAAGTTATCATTCAAGGGCTTGTGGGATGGATATATCCTATGCTTTGCACAGGGCAAGGGTATGATCACTTGCAGTGGCCTTTGCCTCTGTGTCACTCTTCCCGATTTTGCTTGACTTGAGCCTCTTTTCTTTCCCTCCAGGCTCTGCAGTTTCTCCGGAAGAATTCTTCTAAGTATCACTTCAGACGCACCAAGATGCTGCCAGTGAGTGGTGGCTTCCATACCCGCCTCATGGAGCCAGCTGTGGAGCCCCTGGAGCAGGTTCTCAAGGCGATCGACATCAAGAAGCCTCTGATCGCTGTGCACTCTAACGTTAGTGGGCATAGATACATGAACCCTAAACACATCCGGAAGCTGCTAGGACAGCAGGTGGTGTCCCCAGTGAAATGGGAGCAGACAATGCATGCCATATATGAGAGGAAGAAGGGCACCTTGTTCCCCAGCACGTTTGAAGTGGGGCCCGGGCAGCAGCTGGGAAGTATCCTGAGGAGCTGCAACTTGAAGGCCTGGAAGTCCTACAGCCATGTGGATGTGATGCAGGCCAGCGAGGACCCGGACCCATGTTCCCCAGAGTCCCCAAGGTGACTGCCAAGGGGCTCGAGTGGGACAACTCCCAGGTGAGGCAAGGTTGCACCTGCCTCCCTCCTGACAGACTCCTCCAAGGGAGGAGGGACAGGGGCTGTCTGTGAAGTGCTTTAATGCCACACAACAAAGCATCAAGGATGATGTCTCTATGTGACCCAGTCTCTCTTCCCCCTAGGAAAAACTACTGGGGAAAGGATGCACCTGCACACTGCCTGTGAGAAGTCCTGGAACCTCTGCTCCGCCTCTTCAGGCGGCCCTCCCCTCAGCCAGCCTGGGAAGGGCTGGGCTGTGTAGGGTCAGTCATGCTCTGGGTGCTGTGGACATGCTGCTTGGCCACAAGCCAGGCAGGACCTGTGGGCCACTGGGGGCCAGGACCTAAGGGTCTTTGTCTCTGAATCTAAGAGGTTTTAGAACCCAGTGGGCCATGGCAGCTGTTCTGTCCTTTCTTATGTGAAAACTGGGAGATTGACTCCTATATTCCTTTACACATCCAAGAAGTGTGTATTCAGTGCCTGCTGCACGCCAGAGAGCAGGTGGCCTTTGCCTTGGCAGAAGAGGGTCCTGGAGCAAGATGTGAGGAGTGTGGACGTGCCCAGGCAGGGAGGACAGCAAGGAGCTCTGACCCCTTTGGCCAGCCCCAGCTTCTCCATGGAGGGACACCTCTAGGACATCCACATGACAGTGTCACTGTGATCTCTGTGCACCTCCCTCAGAAAGCTCCACCTGTGTTCCACAGCCTTGCTCTGTGGATGCAGCTCTTTGCCCTGATACTAAATATAAACCATTCTAAGTTGCAAGGCGAGCTTTCTCATTTTCCAGTGATTTGAGCAAACCTTGGTGATGAGTTCTCCGAGTCTGTCATACAGTGTCACTGCTAGTTAGGTGGGCACTGCCAAGTCCTGTACGAGACTTCTCAGTTTTAGTACATGGTGTTTGTCAACAGGATCATTGGCCTTTGTGCAGAGCCGCCTCCTATGGGACTTGCCTTCTCTTGTGGGCAGCTGTCATGGGCACTGTGTGCTAGTGCAAACAGTGAGCCCCTGGCTGAGAATCACTGCAGACTGCAACACCACTTGAGCCTTTCCACCAACCCATGCAGGCTGATCTTGAACTCCTGGACTCAGGTGATCCTCCTGCCTTAGCCCAGGGTAGCTGGGACTACAGGTCTGTGCCACTGTGCCCATGTGGGAAGAACTATTCTTAAAACTTGACTTAACTTTTTATTAGTAAGTACTAAGTCTTTTTGAACTTCCTTTGCTGCGCTTGAAGTCCCCATAGCTGTGGGAGACTATCCCGCCTAGGTCCTGTAGCAGCACAGGAGACAGGATGGAAGGATAGGGTCCCTTCAGCCCTGAGGACAAAATCCCAAATGAGGAACCTGGGGTGGGTATGGGCAGTGGGCCTCTGTTGCGTGGAGCAGGTTGGCAGGCCCTCCTGCTCTGGGCACTCCATTTTTCTTCATGGTCCAGCATGGTGCTAGTGGGTCCCTCCATATGCTAAGCTGCAGAAAGAGGGAGAAACAGCAAGCAGAGGGCCTTAAGAAGATTCTAGTCAGCCGTGGTGACATATGCCCGTGAACCCAGCTACTTAGGAAGCTAAGGCTGGTGGGTCACAAGTTCAAGGCCAGCCTCAGCAACTTACACCCTGACTCAGGATTTTTTTTTAAAAAGGGTTCGTAGAGCACTTAGCTAGCAGGTGCCAGGCCCTGAGTTCCACCCCAAATATTCTCCCTCCCCCTCAACTGAAAAGGAATCCAGCCAGGTGTGGTGGTGCATACCAGTAATCCCAGCTGTTGAGGAGGATGGCTGGAACCCAGGAATTCAAGAACCTGGGCAGTATAGCAAGACCTCATCACTAAAAGTAAATTGAGAAAGCTGTTGGCACCTTTGCCTATAGAAGGAACAGTTCCTGCCAGTGCACTTCAGGTCCCATGTCTGCCACACCTTGGGCTATTCTCCATGGCTGCCTGGCCAGGGCTGTTGTGCACAGCAGAAGCAGGCTTCCTGGCACCCTTCAAAAGGCTGTCTCACCTGGTCTCTGGAAATTCTGACATGGCCCAAGACTTTGTTCCAAGCCTTTGGAACAGACATGTTTTGTCCTTAGGCCAAGACCAAGGGCCATCCAGGCCACACACCACATGGAGATCTGGTGTGTCTCATGGCGGGCCTCTCAGACTCCACAGCTCTGATACCTGCTGGGGGAGGTTGCCCCAGTGCCCCAGACCATCTCCTAGCAGGCCCCAAGTTGGTCTACTCCCCACTGTAGCCCCTGGGCCTCCTGCTGGGCAAGGGTATTAATGTGGAAATGTCTTAGGAATCGTGAGGTTACTGGGTGACCACCTGTCCCCCTACTCCATTCCTGGGAGGAATAGGTCTTTGCTCCCCTCCTTTTCAGGGTTGGGAGCAACTCCTATTATTGCTGGTGCAGGAGACTACAGATTTCACCTGAGGAGATCCAGGTTATTCGGGGATGGTAGCTTGGGGTGTACCTGGCCTGTTCTGAGCATACACTCATGGAGACCCTCCATGCAGGGGAATGTGTGAAGTGGGGGTAGATGGAGGGGAGTGGACCCACAGCACCAGGCCAGGCCCTTCTCAGAGCGAACTAAGGCTTGGGATAGTGTTGGAAGTAAAGTGCCAGGCCCTGCTCCTGGCCAGTGTCAGGAACAGCTAGGAGCCAGGTCAGCTGGCTCTCAGCTGTACCCTGTGAAGGGGATACAGCTTCTAGGCCAGCCTTGTAGCAGGTGGCATCAGTTCCCACTTAAGGGTGGCTACCTGAGGCTGCAGCTGCATCTCTGGGGAGGCCAAGGAACCTACAGTGATGTGTGGAAGATGAGGGTAAGATGCTGGCCCAAGGTGGCATTTTCCTCCCGCCCCTTCTCCCTCCTTCAGGAGTACAGATAACGCCTGCTACCACCAGCCCCCGCTCTTCTGGAGAAGTCACATCTGTAAGGAGTCAGTTCCTCCAGAGGAGGAAGACCAGATCCTGCAGCAGGTGTGGGTCAGCCAGGCTGTCCAGTGCAGGGATCTCCACCAGTCTGGGTCTGCCCCAGGGCCTTTGCATGTACAGCTCCCTTGGTCATGATGTCCCATCTTCTCCACAGCCAGCTGCTCCTCAAGGTGGCCCTCTCTCCATTGTCCCACCTACTCCAGAGGCCCCAGGATGACCAAGTGGGGGTGGGGTGGCAAAGAGGAAGCTTAGGGAGCTGGGGGAAGCCACTTAACCAGAACTGGGCTGTCCAGGACAAGGTGAGACTAGAGAAAGAGCATTGAGGAGTGGGAGGAGAAGAGGGGACACTGGCTGTGAGGTGCCAGCAAAGGGCAAGTCCCATCCCGCCAGGAGTCCTTTGTTTCCCTCATATGTTCCACTTAGCTTATTTGCATTTTCCCCTTCCTCAACAAGAACATGAGACCTGAGACGGGGACCTTGTCTCCACAGCATAGCACAGGAGCTGGAGGAAGGAAGGACTGAGCACACCCCCCAGGTGTGACAGGTGAACCCAGTCCCTGCAGGGAGAGGCCTTGGGGGCCATGCCTTTGGCATCAGCTGTTCTTGGGCTTCTGGGCCTTCCACTATGAAGAAAAGCCACTGCACCCCTGGCCAAGTCCCCAGGTGGGGGAGGCTTGTCCCTGGAGCACGCCTCCAGGCAGAAGTGCCTCTGGCCTAGTCAGGGTATGTCTCTAAGCTAGTAGGTTCCCCAGGGCCTCGGGTGTCCATGTCCACACTGGATGAGGGGACAGGGGTGATGGGCAGGATGAGCCCCCTCCACTGTGGAAGGGGGCATAGGCAGCAGGTTCCTGGGGCTAGGGCTGTGGGCTCAACCTGCAAGGTTGAGAGTCGGCATAGGCAGCCCCAAGACGACAGGAGCTCCCCTGAACGAGTAGGCGGGAAGGGGGGGCAAGGGATGAGGATGCAGGTGGTTTGAGGCTTTGACCCAGAGAGGACACAGGAGCTTCCCAGAGCATGCAGGCAGGAGGGGGCAGCTACACCTGGATGCCCCAGGTGGGCCGGGAGGCAACAGCTGGGGAGCAGAAACAGGGCAGGAAGGGAAGAGGGCAAGGCTGTAGAAACTTCTGGGAGGGTGTAGAGGAGGTGCTAGAGGGTGGGCCTGACCCAGTCTGGTTTGGCATTTCTGGTGGGAATAGAGGTTCAGACCCAGGGACCCAGGTTCTGAGGGATCTGCTGAGGCCTAGAAATAGCACCAGGCAGACCCGGATCTGGCTGAGCCCAGTATGAGGCCTGGCCCATGCCAGACTCCTCCACTGAGCACAGCAGGCCAGCACCTGTCCAGCAGGAAGTGGACATGGCAGGGAGGTAGAGAGACTTCCCCGTAGGACTTCAGCATTAGCAGAACAGGACTGGGGACACAAACCGCAAACCCCAGGATAGAACTCTTGCTCTTCAGGTGTGGAGAGGTGACTGGCCCAGGTCTAAGAGCAGGGCTGCGCTTCACCACTGTCCACCTCGATCTGCTGGGCAAGCAGTCCCCATCGGCGCCACAAACTCTCAGAGCGTCTGAGATGGACTGGAAACCAGCATTTTATTTGAACTCTCTCCCCCCTCAGAAATCTAATCCAGTAGATTCTTTTTGCTATGGGCATAACACACACGGGGGTGTGACCAGCACTCCCCCCGCGGGTCCTTGGACCACCCACAGAGCAGGCAGCTCCTTCAGAGTGGCCAGGGGCAAGAGAGCGGCCCAGCCAGCCTCAAAGGGACAGTCAGCCAGTAACGCCCCAGAGGTATAATGAATTCATTTATCTTAAAAAAAAAAAAAAACAAAAAAAAAAACTCCGGTATGAAACCTCAGCAGTGGCCCAGCACTATCTTGAGTTTAAATATTAAAAAAAAGGGATTGTCGGCAAACACCACAGTTAAAAAGAACAAAGCTGGGGAGGCATGGGCCACCTCCAGGGTGGAGGCTGACGGGCAGGGACCAGCCAGCCCTGCCCCAGCCCCCCCCTCACTGCAGCACCAGGTGCAGGATGCCTCCAAGCAACAGGACTGCCAGCAGCACCGAGGGCAGCAGCTGCCTGCAGACCTGGTCAGGGAACACCTGTGGGACCAAGAAGGGACAGTAAGGACCCCCAGACTGTTGGATGGGGTACAGGGGGAGCCCAGGGAGCTGGGGTCTCAGAACAGGCACCTCACCCAGAACTGGGGGCTCTGGGAACAAGGTGAGACCAGTGAATGAGGGCATTCAGGAGGTAAAGAGAGCAGGGGAGGCAGCCCTGAGATCAAGGCAGAGGGGGAGCTGGAGGGCCAGTAGCTCTGTTGGCTGTGCACTGGCACCTTTCTGTGCCCACCCACCCACCAATCGGCCAGGACTCGCACACCAAAGGCCACTGCAACCTTTGTTTCCAGAGGTGGAAACAAACAGGTAAAGCAAGAGAGGATATGGAGGGTGGGGACCAAGTGCCCCAAGGAGCTCCAGGCTGCCCACTCAGGCAGGGGCCTCGAGGCTTACCCAAGTGCTAGGGGTTGGGAGTCTCCAGGACCTCATGTTCTCCCAGAGGTGAGTGAGACCATGGATGAAGTTTCTGAGAACTCCCCTGACACCTGTCTGGCTGTAGGTGAGGGCCAAGCTGCAAGACATGGAGGTAGAGAAGGCTGTTACTGTAGGAGCAGGCAGAGATGGATCACGTGTGCTGACCCATCACAGGAGGTCAGGGGTGGGAGGTAGCACAGACCTTTCTCTCATCCCTTCCCCTGGCGCTTCCACCCAGGAGGGCATCTCTCCATGGGCGGTTTGTGGTTGTTAAATTCATTCTGATTTCCTGTTTTCTCCCTTACCTGTCTGTGGGCCGAGGGAGTTTTGGTCCTACTCAGAGCTGGATTATGGAATACCCCCACTCCACAGGCCCTCTGCAAGTCGCTGCCAGCACTTTCTGTCCCCAGGGAGACCAGTTGGCACCCACCTCCTAAGTTGAGATTTGCACTGTCACCCCACATTGCCCTGTAAACCAAGACCCTTTGGAATCACACCATCTTGGCTCAATTAGGAGGAACAGGAAAGCCTTGGGTGCTGCTTGGTCTGTTGCCAAGGCAGAGGTCACCTTCAGGGCCAGGGCTCCCAGGCCTGCTGGGAGTGTGGGGGTCATTTCCTTCCTGAGCCCAGCCCTGTGCTAGGTTCTGGACCTCCACTAGCCTACCCAGGGTCCCTTCCCCAGGTGCAGAAGCACTGGGCAGGGCACAGGCCTGGTTACCTGTGCATGGCCATCCCAGGCAGCTGGGCCAGACGAGGGCTCCGGAGACGCAGGTCCATCTCATCACCAATGGAGGCTAGCCGCAGGGCCATCTGGTTACTGCAGGGAGAGCACTGGGAAGTTGGGTGTGGCTGCACTGGGAAGGCCACACCACCCACCCAGCCATGGTTCCTGTGGGGCTGGAAGTGGCCCAAGGCAAGGCAAGGGACAGTATGATACTGGGGACCAGCAGCAAGCCTTCCTGTGTCCCTCCTGTCCACGGGTGAACTCTGAAGTGCAGGACAGGCTGCAGGCTTGCAGAGGAACTGCTGGGGTGCCTGTCTCTGCCCTGCCAACTTGCTTTGCCTCCAGTGGAGAACACACCACATCAGTGCCTGGACAGCTTGTGAACCTGCCTGCACCCCCAGAACGTGAGTGCCCCAAGTTTCCCTGGAGAACCCTGGGAGAGGCCTCATGGGCTCTGGTTGGAATGATGGACCATAGGGAGAGGCAGGTTTGGGAGTGCTCTGAGCCCCTGGATTGCTGAAGCTGGCTCATTTTACCGTCCTCCTTTGAAGGGACTCTGTAACTTCGTTCCTGGTCCCCGATTTTGAAAACACCCTTCTCAGCACGGTCTCGGAATGGAGACCTAAGAGGTCCCTGGGGCAGACACACATATGTATGTGTACAACACACAGAGACCAAGTCTCCCTCCTCTGGTGCCCCTCCCTGGCTCAGCCCTGCACCCTGGGGTTTGCCCACACACTCCGCCCCACTGACTCAGCAGCTCCCGGAAATCCCTAGCAGAGCAGCTCAGGGCCCACAGGCTCAGATGCCCCACCCAGCCTGGCCTCCTGCACTGCCTGCCCAGCCTGCCCAGTGTCCCCATGTGTGGCCCTTATTCTGGGGGTGGAGGGGTATAGGGAATGCTGTCTGGAAAACAGGTTGGAAGTCATGTCTCACCTCTATCACTACCCTGTGGAACTTCAGGAAAACACTTCCCCAGGCTTAAAGCCCCTCTCCCCCAGGAATGGAGCAGGGAGCGGGAGGAGGAGTCTAATCCCTACAGCCAGGATCTTAACGACTGTGAACCCCAAAGCAGAAGGGAAACATCTAGAACCAGGCACTGACCTGCCAGCCCTGGGCAGGACTAGCCATGGCTGAGTTGGCATCTGGCTGTTGTCCTCAAACTGGGGGATGGGTGGGCGTGGGGGGTACTGAGGAGCCTGAGCTGGTGCTGGACCTTCTCTTTCCTCACCTGTACAAGCAGAAGGCCACTGTGCACACCCCCAGCAGGGGAAGGCTGGGCAGACACAGTGAGGTCATGTTGCAGTGAGCTGACACTAACACGGGCATGTCCCCACCCTCTGCCTCCCGCGGCCCTGTCAGTCCTAGGGGAATTCCTTCTTTCTGTCTCAGTGATTCCTCAGTTGATCAGTGCCTTGGCAGGGCCAGGACCTGCATGGCTCTCCAGCATTTCTTGTCTAGTCTGAAACTCATCTGCTCAGAGGCCTCCATTCCAGCTCCTTAAGGTCAAATGCTTGAACCATTTTGGTGGCCAGTGCCCATGGTCCGTCTTGGGACTGGGAACCTGCTACATGGGTACTGGGTGGGGGTCCCTCTGTGAGCTATCTGAACATGGGAACCCCCCACACACAGCCAAAGGAAACTGCCCACGTGGAGAACATCCCATCCTGGAGGATGTTCCTAGAGAGGCCACCTGTAGGATGTAAGAGGTCCCCTACTGCACACAAGGCCCACAGGGCACTGGACAGCGACCCTACCTGCCCTCGAGGCAGTGGATGAGGTCCAAGGTCCCCAAGGACTCTGTCATGCTGGAAACCCCTGCAGCCAACGGAGGTCCGGGGAGCTGCTCATACAGGAGGGTCTCAATGAAGAGGTCCCTGGTGATGGGTCTTGCCTCCGACATCTCTTCTCTGGGGGAAACAGGCAGAGTGTGTGACTCGACCCCTGGAACTATGCAATGGGGCCCGCTGGGGCTCTCCCAGCAATTCTCCCAAAGTAAGCACTTTGGCATACTGAGTACTTGAAGCTGAAGGAGACTGGGAGGCTTCAGAAGCAGCCTCAGAAGCCAAATGTGTCTGCCCTCCTCTTGCCCCCCACTTCTGCCAGAGCGCCAAACTAGAACCCTCCTCCCGAAGCAGACCACAGGCCTCCTGTTCCTTCTCCTTTGAAGACCCTGATCCCAAAGCAGGAAGGAATGCTCCGTAGAAAGGCCAAGAAGGCTCCGAGCTCAAGACAGGACTGAGAGGTGAGAAAGCCTGGGTCTGATGGCTTCGCCAAACAACTGGAAGGGTTCAAGCCATTGCCCACCTGTGTGTAAGAAAATAAACCCTGATGGGTCCAAAGCCCCACTCACTGAGTTTCCCATTCCTTGAAGCCACAGGCCTTCCTAGACTCCTGCGATGGTGAACCCCACGTCACCGCTCACGATGGCTGGGTAGGGTTCTGCAGTGATTCGCCACCACGCATCCCACACGCAACTAGCAGCCCAGGTACAGAGTAGCCCGATGATGACAACGTGGCTGGGGATTCTAACGGCCCAGCTCACCCCCCAGCTCAGCCAGGTGGTAGCTGTGTGTCAGTTTCTCCATCTGCAAACTGGATTTGATGGTATGAGCCCCCTGCACTGGGCTTCTGGGGGGATCAAATAAAGAACGTGCCCCCCCCACAACTCTCTGAATAGAGCCTGGCACATGCCAGCGGGACAACGTACAGGCTGAGTATCCAGACCAGAACCGATTATTTTTTTTTCAGATCTTGGAATATTTGCATATACATAATGAGGTGGGACGAAATGAGATAGGGTTGGGAGTAAAGTCTAACCGTGGAATCCGACACACCCTATGTGTGCACACAGGCTGAAGAAAATCTTACACAAAATTCAAAAATAATTTTATATGTGGAACAGTTTCACAATCAGACTTGTGTCATGTTGATGCTCAAAGTTTTGAATTTAGGAGCATTTGTGATTCTTGGTTTAGGGACACTCAACCTATACTTCAAAATCATTATTATCGTCAGCCTGGATTTTTTTTTTTTTTTCTTTTGGAGATGGGATCTCGCTGTTATCCAAGCTGGTCTTTTTTTATTCCTTCTTTTGGCAGCACTGGGGTTTGAATTCAGGACCTCACGCTTTCTAGGCAGGCACTCTATCACTTGAGACACTTCAGCAGCCCTCCAGGCTGGTCTTGAACTCGTGGGCTCAAGTGACTCTCCTGCCTCAGCCAACCAAGTAGCTGGGACCACAGACACATGCCACCAAGCCTGGCTTATCCTGTTTTTTGTTTGTTTGTTTTAATCCTGGATCTAAAACAATATTTTTTTGTGGTGCCAGAGATGGGACCTAGGGCCTCTCACATGGTAGGCAAATGCTCCACCACTGAGCCGAACCCCCAGCCCTATCCCAGGTCACTGAAATTGAATGAAGAGGAATCAGAAGTCCTGCACCAATGCCATTCCTGAAGTGGACCAACTGAGGCACGTGTACTGGATGACCCTCCTGGGGACACCCTGAGGCTAAACACAAAAATGTGTGCTTACTACTTGCTCTCAGCATTAAGAATCTGGCTGGAAATGCAAAGTCCAAGCAGGGATTCCAGGAGCAGGAACGTAAGGGGGAACCTTCAGATGTCTCGGGGCTGATTTGAGGCAGCCACTGTCAACAACAAGCCCCCAAAGCAAGTAGTCAAGGAGACAGGTATGCACATGGTGACATCAGCCAGTCATGGAAGGCATGGGGGGGGGTGACACACTCTAGGCTTTGAGGGACAGCATTGCTCTTCCTTCCAGGACTAAAGAAAACGAATCATCATCCAGAACTTGTGTCTCAACAAAGAAGTGGCCGTTTCTTTCCTAAGAGGAGACAGAAGTTCACATCTGTTCCCACCGGCTTACAGGAGCCAAGCTGAAGGGATCAGATGTAAACATAGCCACAGAAGCCACAAAGGGCCCACAGCTGCACCTGACAGGTGACACCTTCACCCGCAGGCAGAACTGTCAGCCCTAGTGCAGGGGAAGGGGCTACCACCTGCCGAGTACACCTGCAGGCAAAGCTTTAAAAGCTACAAGGTCAGAGGTGCTCCCCAAAGCATCAGGCCAGGACACAGAAGTTCCCAGTGGCATTTGTGTACCCAACAAAGTCACCGTTCCTTTTAAGTGCAAAACTCTTGAACTTAGCTTCTGGCAGCAGTTCAAAAACCAGAGAGAAGCCGAGATGGATGTGCAATGTAAAGACATCCACGCTTTAGAGAGCACTGTGGGGAGATGGGCAGGCGGCATGGCTCCTATGGGAGCGCAGGCAAGGCCCTGTACTGCCAAAAGAAAAAAGCACACAGGGGACAGAGCCAGCATGGCTGGAAGCCATCCTGGCAGACCAGATGGGTCCACCTTATCATGGGGTGTGCTGACACTGAGCACCCCTTTTCTCAGACCAAACGTGTACTTCCTAGAAGCCAGCTCCGGCACTGGCCAGTGGCCAAGGGGCCCCTTTGAGCGCTGACACCATCTTCAGCCAGCAGTCTGACCATCCATGTTGCTATGCTGTCACTGCTGAAAAAGTAGGAGAGAAGTGTGGGGGACACAGGTGCTCATACATGAGGCGGGAGGGGGCCAGAAGGTCCACATTGGTGTCTCTGGGCATCTTCAGCTTGAGGACACTCAACAGTGAAGAAAAGGAATTAAACCAAGAGCGACACAGGGTCCCCCCACCCAGGCCACCCCAAGAGGTTAGCAGAACATCTATGCAGAAAACCAAGGAGAGCCACAGGCACCTACAGGCAGTGCCATGGATACGAAAATCAATGTACAAAAAGCAGTAGCAAGCCTGCGCGTGGACCACAATATACAGTCGAAAGTAAAGACAGCTTCACTGGCGGGGCGTGGTGGCACCCCTGTAATCTGTTACTTGAAAGTCCGAGATGAGAAGGATCATGGCTCAAGCCTAGCCCAGGCAAAAAGTTAGCAAGACCCCATCTCAACCAATAAGCTAGTAGGGTGATGTGTGCCTGTCATGTCAGTTACATGATGGCACAGGTCAGGAGTATGGAGGCACCAGGCTGGCCCAGGCAAAACCCTACCTGAAAAAGAAACTGCAGCAAAAGAGGCTCCAAGTGGTACAGAGCACACTTAGTGTCTACAAACCCCAGTCTGCCAAATAAACAATAAAGATGATTTTACAGTAAAGACAAAAATAGATTTTTGGTCAGAGATTAACATAGTAAAAGATGAAAAAAAAACTTCATGCAGAAAAATCTGAAGTCCATTAAAGAACGTGAAAGACCCAGCTAAATGGAGAGAGAGAGACACGTTTTTGTGGCTGTGATGTTTTAGTTTGTTTTACAGACGAGAAGCCCAGTGTGTGTGTGCATGCATGTTTATGCTGTAATCCACTTCTGGAAAAGGATGAGGTAGAAGTTTGAGGCCAGCCTGGGCTACACAGCAAACCCCCGTCTCAAAAAACCAAAGAAGTGACATTTAAAGAATTGTGTCCAGAGCCTCAGCTGCGCTCAGGGTCTAGGAAGGGGGTGTGTGTATGCAAAGATCATTTACCAGGGAAAGCAGCCCCAGTCACATTTGCATCTGTCTCCTCCCTTTCCCCTCCCCACAAACCTCGGAGTCCACTTCCACAAGGAGCTGTTCCCAACCCAGAGGACCCCACTCCTGAGAGAGCAGGGTGGGCCTTCCTTCAGGATCCTCTGGGACCCCACCAACCTCCCAGTTGGGAGGGCCTAGGGCAGAGGCCACTCTCACCTTCGTTAACATCCTAACCCAAACACCCATCCTTTCCACCCCTAGGCCTCGGTTTCCCTCTGTGGTCGAATGGGGACGGTGGTCCCAATCTGGGGGGGTGGGGGGCTCCTCTTCCAGGCTGGTACTCTGACATTGTCAAGCCAGGACTAAACCTTCCCAGGACCCAGCCTCGGGTTCAGACATCCTCCATCACCTGTCAGGGGGGCTGGCCCTGGGGCTCCAGACCCCAGTGGGCAAACACATGTGGTCCAGGGGCTGGGAGGAGTCCCTGCCCGGAAGGGTCCCTGCAGTAGCCCCCTCCTGTTCCCAACCACCCCAAGTGGAGGAACCCAGCCCTGACCACCTGTAGCTTGGCTCCCACTCCTGCTGGGCTCACTCTAATCCAACCTCCACCAGGAGGAGCCTCAGGGCTGACCCCTCGGTTCTGTGGCTCCCCACACCTTCCCTTTTTTTGGGTGGCACTGGGGCTTGAACTCAAGGCCTCAGGCTTGCTAGACAGGAGCTCTTACCACATGAGCCACTCTACCAGCTCTCCCAGGGCCTCCATGAGTGTGGGCCCACACCTGCTGAAGGGCCATCTTGGACCCTTCCCTAGCCACACTGAGGAAGATGCGTTTCCTTCAACTGTGCCAGGGCATGCCATGCCTCTGGGCTTTTCACGTGCAGCACCCACTACCTGGGCACCCTCAGCCGACTGGCTTATTCCTACTGTCCCCTAAAGAACTCAGCCCAGGTGTCACCTGCTCAGACCCTCTGAGTCCCCACAGCCCTGTCTCTACGTCCCTCTACCTCTAACCAACCGTACTGGCTGTGGCTCTGTTTCTTCATGTCTGCTGGTTCAGAGCATGGGCTCTGGAACCAGGCTGCTGGTCTTTGGGCAGGTTACTTAACCTCTCTGTGCCTCATGTGCCCTCACTCTAGAATGGAGAGAGTAGTAACTTCTATTTCCCACAGCTGTTGAGAGGCAGAAATGATGTGATCTGCATCAGTGGTCCAGACACAGAGTGAGTGGCTTAGAGACAGAAATGCTGAAAGTTTCTGGCTCCCACTTCACAGCATGAAGCAGAAAGTGTTTGTTGAACAAATAAATAAAAGCCAAGTAGAACCCAGAAGACTCAACATGAGGTCACTGAAGCTGCAGACCCAGGAAACTGGACTGATTTTTTAGCATCAGAATTTGTTTTTTCCAGCAAATTTGCAAAAAGTAGTTGAGTCCGTTGGTGACAGGAAGACCCGCCTACTACATCCTCAGCCAGGCTGAGGGCCACGCTGGGTCTTCTGTGCTCACAGTGGAAAAACCCGACGCCAGTCAGGGATCCCGAGTAGGATGCAAATCCAACCTGCACACACAGCACCACACCCATGGTCTTGTCAGGATCATGGGGGAGGAGGATCCCACAGGCCAGGCTGTATTTGGTGACCAGCTCTGTGGCCACCTACATGACCATCCACTTGGCCAGGACAAGATCCCTCCCTGGAGCCAGGACAGATCTGGCTGGTGTAGTAGGTTCCTGGGACACCCTTTGTATCATACCTCACCCAGTCCTGGGAAAGCACTTCCCCATTTTACAGACATGCAAACTGAGGACAGAAGGGCCCAGACTGGACTGGGGTCACAGCAAGAGTGAGCTGGGTCCCCACTCCCTGGTGGTCTCCTTTGGACCTCCCCCAAGCCCCTCTCAGTCACCTGCCTGACTCTGGACAATAGCTGGGGAGGACACAGGCAAAGTCTGGATCTTGCAGCGAGCCAGCAGTAAGCTCCAGTCCCAGCTCTGCTACTGCTGTGTGGCCACAGACTAGTCACCTAACCTCTCAGAGCCCTGCTGATCTCCTGCACAAAAAACAGCACCACCCCAGAGCTGCTGAAAGGATTAAAAGGTAACA